GCAGACGTATTTCCGGTCGTATTTAAACACGCGTACTAAATCAATTCAGAAACAATTCGAAAACGATATAAAAAGTAGGTACCCTCAATAATACTCGACCGTCACTAAAGTAAGAACTGCAAAAACCTTTAGCGAGTAAATCATGTTTCGTGTAGAATTATCGCCTCCTCATTTTTATCCAATTTCCAACCACTGAAGCAAGACTAAACGCCGCCTAAATCACTTGGTGATCTGGAGTTGATAAACTTTTCTAATATATATTTTGTCTACTGCTTTAGTTGTACAAATAGCCTGCCTATCCGGCAGAATCGTTAGCGCGAGCAACGTTTTGGTAGGCTCGACCTCCGCCGTCTCTGATAATGAGTGCGGGCTCATTTTTCCGAACAGCGGAAGAAGTTTTGGCAGAGGAGTGGGTAGCAAAGCCGTGCGGAGGGGGTGGAGGAGAGTTGTGACTCCGTCAAGCAGGTCAGAGATACAAGAAGCCTTCGTGTAGACGTGTTCTTATTTCCTTTATTTCAAATTGTAAATAGGAGAGCTTTGCAGTAAATACTGTATACGGTTGAACCCTCCGCACCGGCCACCTTCATAGGGACAGAGGAAAGTGGTCGTCGTAGAGAGACTGCCAGGAATGTATGAAATATCTTCCAGGAGGGTAAAAAAATTTATTGTGAAGGAGTAGGAGGGGTGTGGAGTAAGTAAAACATTGTCTTTCGTGCTAAAAAGAGCCAGTTTGCCTTTAACCTCATTAATATGCACGATTTTCCCGCCAAGAATCAGTGAACTGGAACTAAGAGAGTGCGGGGCAGAAAACAGAACGTGCATAATTGATAGTAAGTGACATGCAAGTTTGACTTTATTCATCAGACACCATGAATTGACCAATGAAAACGTTTCATATTTTCTAATCAACCAATCGAAAACCATTACGGTTTGGGCAAGCCCAGGCAAGGCAATACAGCCTATTCTTTAACCCAGGCTCCATTAAGTACTGACCTATTTTTTCCATGACGTCACCAAAACGGTGGATCCACGCGATGCACCCAACGTAGAACGCTCATTTTGTATACTACTCTTACGCACGAGTTGTTGACGTATCAGAAATTGAAAGAGTGAGCGTAGCCAACAAGTGAGGAGGCATTTATCATTCTGCCAGCCTTTTATTTTAAATCTTTCCAAACGGATAAAATTTGCCTCTACATATCGCGAAATGAAAAAGAAAACGAACTATGTCAGTAAAAAGATATAGGAAAAATTATCATGAGGGATACTTTTTATTAAAGATATGAGTTAATCCACGAATTACAAGTTAACATACAACTTAAGTTCACCTCTCATTTCCCTTTTCTTTCTCTCCTTCTGCTGCAGTTTTACCGGCTATTTACAATTTTCTTAATGAAGGTGAGATACTAAACTTTTTCCACTCGAGTATGTCTAAATGTCGCGGGTCGCGACTCGCGGGTAGAGGTCGCGGGTGCGGGTGCGGGTAAGTGTCGCGGGTAAAAATAAATCACCAAATTTAACAAAAATATAAAATAAATAACAAAACAAAAATTTCTTTTTTTTAAATTTTTAACGAAGACTAGTCAGCAGCACAAAGGAAGACTTATTGTAGTTGTACGCTTTTTCGCTTTTCTCCGACACGTTTCGTCTCCTACTGAGACTTCTTCGGGGAATGAATACAACTAAGAAAGAACAGCATATGTAACACGTTTTCTGTGTAAGTAAAACTTCCGATAGAAGTCTGAATAATAACTTAACTATGCTGTAAACGGACGTTATAGGAAAGGCCTTAATACATATGTTATTGCGTGTTGTTATATTGTGGGGGCCATACGATCACCGCTAATCTATGGCCCCCAAAAACTCAACGGAACTATCGGACTCCATCAGGATAAAGAATCGATCGATCGAAGTAAACCTGGAAATCTTCTTCCTTTCTGTTGGTGTAAAATCAGAACTATGAATGAAAGTTTTACCCACGTGCACGGGTATTGTTGCCGTGATCAAACCGCCAGTAACGTGGGGAAAATTCGATTTACCAGGATGGCAAATTCTTTCGTGCTACCGCGCCAAAATTGAGCACGAATGACGAATGACAACTCTCGATTCATACTTTTTGCTGAGGAATTAAGTACACGGAAGTCTCATTAGTGCAAAACAAAAAGTCAAAGCTGTATTTTCGATGAACCAAATTATGTCTTCATATATACATAGGGTAAAAACCACTTCTTTTAAGTGGACAAGTCACATAAGCTGACACTGCGGACCCTTACACTGAATAACGAAGGGGTCGAGAAGGAGAGAGAAAACATAGCGGGTGGTCAAGAATGTCGTTCAAGGGGAGGGGAGATTGCTTTTATCAAAGAAGTAGCCACCTTTGTAAGATTTTGCTGGAGGTCTTAATCATTTCTTTTTGTTTATATTCAAGAGCTCGCAGTTGAAAAACAAAAAAAGTTCTAATTAAAGTATTATAAGGTCTTCTTAAATGTAATAGCTATTTCTAACTCCTGTTTAACCTATCACAGCGCTAAACCCTGGTTTCACTTGCTATTTTCAGGTCTTGGGGCGGGGGGGGGTTCTTGACGAAATTTTGATTTTCCATTTTTCCTCAAAAATGAAGAGAGAAATGTACCAGGCATGGAGGAAACAAGATTTAAGACTGATCACTCGCAACATGGTAATGATTAAAAACCAACTCGGAGGTTACGCATTTATGCCACCAAAATTAATTTTATTTGTCTTGATTTGCAGAAAAAAGAAAAAAAGAAGTATTAGTTAAAGTTAGTTTTTCAGTTCGATAGGGTTTCGGCTTTTTAAGACGGGCACTGAATTTTTACACTCCTTTTTCAATACACTTCGCTGCTACATATAGGTAATATAGAGGTCAGCAAAGGGCCAAATACTTTTTTGTAATATTGCAACTTAGTACCCTTAAACCCTTGGGCGTACAAGCTAGGGGAGTGGGTGAAATCCCCGGAAGGTTTTTTGAATCAACCACCAAGACAAGTCATCACATATCCACTGATACTTTTCTTTCCTCTTTCAGAACTTCAACCTCCTCCCCAACAGATCCCAAACGCAGGTAGCTCGGTTACTTAGTGCAATTTTAATTAGCCAATGTAGTTTTAATCACGTGGATTTTTCTTTAGTGACTTTTTCCTTTGTATCACCCTTAGTTAGCTTTAAATAACTGGACTTCCTCATTATTACCTGTGGACCAAAAAAAAAGTATTGCAAATCTTCTTTGAGAGATAATCAAATTTCCCTTTATTTTATTAACAATTTAATGTTAAATTTGGTGATTTATTTTTACCCGCGACCTTTACCCGCATCCGCACCCGCGACCTCTACCCGCGAGTCGCGACCCGCGACATTTAGACATACTCTTTCCACTCCATGTTCACTTTCCTTCTCGTTGAATGTCTGCGAAGCAACTCCCAAAACGAGGGCGCTTTGTGGCTTTTGATTGGACGAATCATATTTCTCACACGTGCAATAACATCTTTCGCGATTCTGATTGGACGTATTATTTTTCTCAAATTTAAACTACAACTCTTTGCGTGTGAAAATTTGTGACATAGCTTTCCAGAGAGAGTATAATTATCAGTATGTATATTGTAAAGTGAATCTTCTTAACCAGGTTGATAAATTCAACAGAACATATAACTTCTCAATCACCTGCGAAGAACGTTGTTCAGGCAAATTTTCCAGAACTAGTAAAATGAAAAAAAAATCTTTCGCTATATATTTCCCTAAGTGTACAATCTGTCACTAATAGATCCGGTTTTCAAAAATACCAAAAACGGTGCCCCTTGATTTTATACCTCAGTAACACCTAAAATATACCCTGGATTCCAGAGGATATTTTTTTCTTATCGATACTGATGGTTCGCGGCCAAGCCTCGTCAACGAGGCGCGAAGGGCCGAGAAAAAAACGTTTCGGGAGCCTTATCAAACCGTAAGCACGGTGTTTTGGTATATTGAGAACGGACCTCTGGAGCCAGGGTACCTAAAGTATTGAATTCATATAACATTTTGATAAATTTTAATTCAATTGATAAGTTATCCGCTGGATAGTGATTTATCCGGTGGATAGCGCTATCCAACGTTTGAACAACTGATAAATCACTATCCAGCTGATAACTTTTATTTAGCGCATAGCGTTATGCCCCTTTTGAACAACTGGAGGCTAGACTGCTTGCAGTCCGCCGCCTTTTCTCTTAAAATCCGTCTAGTTCTTGTTCTCATCCAGCGCGATTGCAGACCACCATAACACTTCCACATTTAGGAGAAATTGTCGACAAAGATTTGTAAGTGTGAAAATGCAGTTATCTAATACTAAAAGAAAAGAGTAAAATTTACAGATAGTACAATTGCTTTGTATGCGGGCGGTTTCATTTGCAGCTATCCAATATTTGAACAATCCGGACCAGAACAGCATGTCAAATTGAACACCATATGACTATAGTGTTATAGCTGATTTCCACTAGTGACAGAGTTTTTAAAAGTCAGTGTTATAAATAAAAGCACTTATGACTACCTAGTAAAAATCAAAGGATTAAAGTCAGCAAAATCATAAACTTGAAGAAATCAGGTCAACGAATCAGAATGTTGCTTTTTTCTTCTGGGCTCACCTACAATTTTCTCGCTCATAAACCAGTACCTGGGCCAGATTGTCAAAGTCTTAGCAGAAGCTGAAAAATAATCTAATCAAAATGTATCCTAAGATCAGGCCCAATTTTAGCGGTTCTCATACATTTCTCTTTTCGTTTCGCCTTGCCCGCTGGAATGTCATTTTCAAAGCGAAACGAAAATAGAGCCTTATCTCAAGTTAATCAAAATTCTTATACCCATGCACTGTAGAAGTTCTGCCACTAACACCAACACCACAATCTGTTATTCACTAGATTGTAAACAGTGGAGTTGTATGCGGAACCCAAAATGCTCTTTTCACTGTGCGCTCTCTCTGTCACTAGTGAAAAGCAGCCTTTAAAAAGTATTCCTTTACAATTTAGCCTTTTGCCCTCTGGCTAAAAACTGAAACACCAAGTCAGTAGTATCCATGGCACAGCCCCAATGCATAGTCAAACCTGACCCACCATGACCATAGTTATGGACAACCTGGAAAAAATACAGTTGTATAATGTGGAATTATAGCTACTCAACACTGCTATTAATATTTTAGGATATACATATAGCTGCATGTACATTAATAAGTGTTGTCCCTGTGACGAGTGTTGTCCCCATACCAAGTTTTGTCCCTGTGACACACTGTTGTTTTGACATGTACTGTCATTTCTGTGCTCATTATTTTTTAATAACAAAATAAAAATAAGAAACGCCCAAAGATCCTAGAATGCACCACAATCTTTGGTTTATTACATAGCTATACCCAGGCATGCTACATGGGAAGTATCACACTGATGCTATATCCTTTAAAATCAAAGATGGCAAAGACATTGTTTCAATGTTGAGGCTTGTAACACAAATTTCAAAATCCTAAACAGAAGGATTCATGTGAAAAGAACACTGTTAGTTTGAATGCTTGTTTATTAAGGGCTCTAATGGAAGATTTTAATTCCTACTTTGAGAGTTCTTTCTTTTCCAAGCTTGTCTTTGAATTTCTTGACTTCTTTTTCCAGCCTGACGGTTGGACGTGCGGGTCGGAGTCCTACCCACGCCTCTAGTACTCGAGCTCTCTAATAATAACAAAGAGGCAGAGGAGGATACCAGGTTGTAATTGGCTTAAAAAACAAAGCACTTTATAGAAGTTCCAGATTGAATTGGAATTTGAAACAAAATATCACCTAGTTTCGAACAAGATGTAAACAGAAGCTTTTGAGAAAAGTGTACAGAACATGTAGCAAAAGTCCTATAATCAAAACATATCTGGCAGAGATTTTTATACTCACTTTCAGGCTTGGAATCAGCTGACTAGTGGCTTCCAAGATGTGTCTGGTGTCATCAGCACTAACTCTTAAGTCAAAGTTATTATGGTATCCAGTCCCTCCAAGAACAACTTCTCCATTGGCTCTGGCAAAAAGAAATATTTTTTTACTCTTCCAACCCTAAAGACAGATAGCAATATTTTCTCCTTCCTTTAATGTCAATTCTCTGTTATATTAATGTACATGTATCGACAAGGCTGAACTCTAGCAGCATCTGTTGGCCCCTGGTGCCCAACTTTTGCTGGGTAACTAAAAATATTTTTTTTTCTTACAAATCATAGGCTGGGCTTAGATTTCACAGGTTCAGAGCATTGCAGGGCTCCCTTCAGTTTTCTAAGAGCACAGCCTTGATGGGGGTCAGGTCGTTTTTTCCCTGTTGAAAGGGGGGGGGGGGGGGGGGGGGGGCGGCCTTTTTGTTGGGGGGTTTTTTAAAAAAATTTTTTGGTTTTGGGGGGCCTTTTTTAAAAAAAGGGGGGTTTACTGGGGTTTTTTTTACAAAATTTTTTAAAAGAGGGTAAAATAGTTAAAATTAGAATTAATTAAAATTAAACGTTAAGGCGGAAAATAGTAATGGTCGGCGTCGTGCGTCTCTGTCTGCGTCTCCTTGCTTTGTTTTTTGTAGAATAATATATTTTTTTTTTTTTTCTTAAGAGTGTTGGGGGGTGTGTAGCATTCAGGGGGTGAGGGGTGTGCGGGCTCTTTTTTGTGTTTAGAGGGGGGGGGGGGGGGGGGGGTGGGTTTTTGTTTTGGGGGGGGGGGGGGGGGGGGGGGGGGGGGACGAGGGCAGCCATTTTGCTAGGGGTCATTTTCAAAATATTGATTGGTTTTGGGAGGCCATTTTCAGATAAGAGAGTGTTACCTAGGGTTTTTTTTAACAGATTTCATGAAAGTAGGTCAAATCAGTTAAAGGAGCATGAATTGAAATTGAACGTCATGGCCGTAAATAGTGAACACCGATCTTATAAACACAGCTATAGATAACTGTGGCTAGAATATTTGAAGTTTCAACAGCAATCACTTTCACAACGAGTAAAATTTATAGGGGGTTATTTCTAAAAAGCCAGTATGAATTGGGGGATTGGTTTGAAAATCTTCTAAGCTTTCTCAAAATGGCCAGTCCCCCCTCATAGGTAATAAAAGCCTAGCCCCTGAAGACAGGGCAATAGTACCTTAAACAAATAGGTGTTATGAACTATATTGGATGATACAATAAGCTCTTAAAAAGATCTTCTTAAGGAACTAAAAATGACATAGTTGGAGGACAGACATCTAAAGGATATGCTTCTCTGGTCTATAAATGTGTAAATGGGCTAATGCCCACTTATCTTAGCTCATATAAGGAAACTCGTTCTTCCGAAACCGAGGATGTCTACACGTGGCCTAAATTCCTTTACTTATTTCGTGACGAATCATGGAATTTACTACCTGACAATGCTAGAACTGCTAGTAATATACATAGTTTTTATACCATTATCTTAGACAACACTATAAGTTATTGTAATGCAATTTGTTGCCTATTTTTTAAATGTTGACATTGTTGTAAATAGTCATATGGTCAAATTATTTTTAATATTATCACCTACTGTACAATTCCGAAAATAAGCCCCTCCAAATATAAGCCCACCAAAGCAAAAACAGTAAATTTCCTTCCAACTATAAGCCAGCCCAATCGATTTTGAAACGCAAATTTCCCTCTGTACATAAGCTCTTCGAATATAAGCCCCTCCAAAAAGGGCCTTTGAAAAATATAAGCCGCGGGGCTTATTTTCGGAATTTTATCGTGTTCTGCTCGATTGTTTTATTAATTTATTTTGTTTCTTTTCATTCGGAGATTCTAGCAGCAATGCTACTCTTTAAATCCAAAATTATGTTAAAATAAAGTTTATCTAATCTATCTAAAACCCAAGGTGGGATAGCTGGTAAAGGAACAGAGGTGTACATAGCAGAATTACTTTTTGACACTATTCTGTAGTATTTTGAAATAACTTACTGTGGCAAAATATAGCAATATCTTCCTCGGCTTGCAAGGTCTGTAATATCTCTTATATAAGCATGCTTAATCCAAGGTGCATAAACCTAGAAAGCAATTGACATAATTTAAAGCCAGTTTCAAATCAAAAAGTCTAAAGGGAACAACTGTAACAGTCACACACGGCTGGTGGTATGGGCTTAAGTGTGCAGAGGGTCTTCAGGTCACGTGGTGTTTCCGAGTTCAGGTATTTTTGCTGCCATCCACCACTGCCTGACCTGACCTGACCTGACCTACCCAACCACCCTTTATGTGTGTTTGTTGAGTTGTTTTAGTATATTTGAAGTAGCACAGTGGTTCTGGTTGCTATAATAGTTTCTTGTCAGCCATTTATTAGCTTTTTGATGCTGCAATACTAATGATTTGTGGTCTTGATATTAAGGTCAGGCTGCATGGTCGATTTTAGAAGTGTGATATGATCCCCTGAAAAGTTAATAACAGTAAATTAACGAACATGGGTTGCTGACGTGAATAAAATTTTGTGGACCCTGAGTTGATCATGAGGTAGCCATAATGGTAAGCAGAGGTTTGACAGTAATAACACACCAGACAGTGAAAAGGCTGGTGATACTACAGTCTAGACTGGCCAGTTAGATCCTTCCAGAAAAAATTGACATGTCCAGAAAATTAAAGCTCTGGAAACTCACAAAAACAGGACTTCAAGACTCATGAAAAATGGTTCCATGATCTCGTAATTATAGATGAAAAGATTCAAAGACCCACAATTTTCTTGATACCACTTGCCAGCCCTTGTGAAACTGGGCAATCAAACATCAGAATTAATAAATAGTTTTTATCAGATAGTGGGCAACAAATCTGGATAATTGCTGGTCAAGAGCTCTCTCTAGACTTGGCTACTATGACTCCTAACATAGAGATCATGGCATAAAAAAAATATTTAAACTCTTAACCATGAGTAGTAGTCATTGAGGGTGGGTACCACAGAAGTGAAAAGAGAGAAGAATGGCCATCTATACAGCAACAAGGAGGACACCATGGCAAATGAGCCACAGGTTACCCAACTCTAAGCATCTCTCAATTCAACTCTGAGCGACCAGCTAGAGTGTGGAGTGTATATCTACTCAAGGATGTGTGAGAGGAGAGGAAAACATGGCAAGCAAGTAACAGGAGAAATATCAAGCGAAAGCAAATGACAGTGCTCCTGTCAACCACAGAGAACCCACAAACCCTCAAACCCAACCCCCAACCCTCCAGCCAATGTAGTGGGACAGTTCGTGATATTATTAATGAAGTAGAAAGTACTGGTAACCAGTCTCCGATAACACGCATGTAGCAGAAGAAATACAGTAATTCTTTTGAAACCAGTGCATTAATGCTTGGCTTGACTTAATCTGCATTAGCTTTGTTGAGTCACATTTAACAAACTCTCTACATTTTTCCAAACTTACCCTTAAAACTTGACCCCTGACAGGGTCCATGGACAAATCATTCACTAATTCTCGAGCTCTCAGGCCTGGGCAGTTGACAACAACATCATAAAGACCTGCAAGCTAAAAACATTCAACTAAGAGCAGTCTTGAATTCAAACAGGCTCTATGGGAATTAAATGCAATGATTGTTGGTGAAAATTGTCAGTTAATCTCTTACCTCCTCCAAAGAGTCGACTGTTCTCTTCACAATATCTCCACCTAAACCTTTAAACCTGAAATCACACGTTTTAGGGCAACTTGCATTTAATAATATTACACATAGTTTCAAACAGAGACATGCAAAAGATCTACAAGGCTGTAATTAACCTATGTTCCCTGAAATTTATACTAAAAGTATTCATTTGTTTCATCAATATTTCATGTACTACCTGGGACTACAAAAAAATAAATTCGAGACCTTAAGTATCAGCTAGTTATTCTTGTAAAACCACAAACCACGAAATGCAGTTTGCAGTTAAGTGTTTGCAGTTAATCCCCTTACTGGATTTCGAATTTTAGCAGAGCTTCATTGTTTAGTACCCGCATGTTGTTTCTCGTCAAGTCATTGTGCTTTACTTTTATCAGCTCAAAAACATAAAGAATTCATTGATTCCAGTTCAAAAATGTAACAGGTGTAGAAACCTATCTCTTGCCTTTAAAAAACCTTGCCATAAATCAGTTACTGCTGGAAGCTCTTCCTGCCCTTCAAACATAATGTTGTATTATTGAAATTTAAAAACATATCCGTATGAACATTTCCAGGCTGAAACTGCCCAGAAAATAAGAACGATACAGGCTAAACTAAAAATTAAAAATGGACAGTCTTATAAAAAAGAGTGTACATATCTCATAACCCCTTACAAAACTTGGAGTTACACACACTCTTAGAGACATGACGTGGACTAAGGAATCCAATTACTGCAAGTATAGGATCATGCCAATACCTTTCAATAAGCCATGGTTGGTAATATCTTCCATTTATGAATAATGTTGTGAATGAATAACCAAAACTAAAACATGTAAACCAAAACAATATGTCAGGAATTACACTGCATGTCAGACCCTGCCCAATTATGCTACATCACAGCTGAGCTACAGGATAGTTGAGAAACTGGGTTTGATAAAAAACTAATAGAAATTACTAAAAAATAAACTACAAGTCAAAGATGTTTAATTAAAAAACAAGTTTCCTTGAAAGCTACTAAACTAGTCTAGAATTATCTGATGACAACAGTGCTCTCTGGCATGAAGTCCTAGAGAGTTTACTTGTAGTTCCTGTAAAAATCATAAAGAAGAGCTTTAATCTTTAAGTGTTTGTGCGGTACAAATAGAGGATATTTAATACATCCATGCCGTGTGGAGATACAGAATTTCTCCTCAATATTATTCATGAGTGAGTGTAGCTAACTCGTGAAATATTTGTTCAATTATATGAGAAGATAAATTTTGCATCTCCAAGTGACTGCCACGTAATTATGTTCTATTTATCATATAATCACCAAATTATGAAATACCAAACTAGTTCACACTATATTAGTATAATAGTTTTTCTCTGTAAAAGGTGCAATTTATCATGTAACTGTTATGGGTCAAAATTAAATTAAGGTTAAATTTTTTTAACCTAGGTTAATTTTCAATTTCTTTTGTCTCCTACTAAGCCCTAATAGTTTCACGAATTATCAGGGCTGGTAGACAAAGGAAATTGAGAATCAACCTGGGTTAAAAAATTTTTAACCTGAAAATTATTCAATTTTGACTTGTATTAAACAGCTACAAGATAAATTTCACCTTTTCACCTGTGAAGATAAAACGTCATTTTCACATGTGAAGATATCATGTTTTCATGTGAAAGCTCACCTGGTATTTCATTGGTGTTTATATAATTAGGTTCTAATAATTTTCATTATGATGCAATTTATGTTCTAACTCATGTACAATTAATTAAACCAAAATTCCAGAAAGTTTGGTCCAGAAATGAAAAGATTGAATCGGTTCATCTTGACTGGAAATGTTTTGAAAAAAATGTGAACTTTTAACGTCAGCCATTTAACACAGTTGGGCCAGTCTTACTAGAAATCAGCCAAAATGTAATGGTTGGTTCGCTCTAGCTAACTGAACCATGGAGTAAAAACTGATGTTAGAAAAAATTCCCGCTATTCTTCAAGATTTTGGTTGAATGGACCAGCCCCTTCAACTAATCCCACAAAACTTTTCATGGATTAGAAAATTTATTAGTGGCACTACCAGTTATGACCAATAATATACCAATTACTGACTCTAAGTTACTAGAAGTCAAACTAACTTTGCTGGCTTTGGTAACTTATCCAGTTCGTTTTGTGAGAGAAGACGATACCCGTCGACCAGGTCTTTCCAGGAAGGTTCCTTAAAGAAAAAGAAATCCATAGGTAACAGGAAATGATGCTATTTTATTATAACTTTGTTCCAAAGAAATACAGTGAAAAATTATCACAAAGTTTTGGATACGACAAGGACTTAATAATACATTTCATCCCCTTACTCTTTCTCTATTTAGTCTCGCTTGCTTGAGCAAAGCGAGACTCTTAAAATGCAGTTGTTTTTTTTTTTTTTTCGGTGGGACCTAGTTTGTAGGCCCCGTGTTCCTAGCGAAGACCGTGGAAACTGGGGATAAGAATCGTGACGACTTTCATTGTATGGAAATGAGTCTCGTGATGAGAATGCGGTTTATTTCGGCGATGACTGAAATGATGCATGTAAGTTTGGCAATGACGTAATTTTCCTCCAATGGAGGCCCTTGATTTTCGTGTAATTATGCACGACATGCAGGCACATCCCCAAGCAGGATGAGAAAATATTATAGCATGGAAATCCTCAGGATTTTGTGGCTTTTAAAGGCGTTACATTTCTCAGAATATTGTCGCAATTACAGGAAATGTATGGTTAAATAGATTCACTTTGTGTTATGTATTTAATTGATAGATTTTCGCAGTTGTTACGATGTGAATTCATGTTGCAGTTCATAAATACTTGAGATATGAAGTATCCACTGTCACGTAATTTTTACGTGTGCACGTGCGTAAAATTTGCGTTCGCAAATAAAATAAAGGCAATGTATGAAAGGCTGCATGTACAATTATGTAAGCGTAAAAGTAGAAACTTGCTTAATTTGACTTTTAATCTCAATACTTTATGTCTTACCTCTATTTGATTTATGTGATTAAAATTTACGTGCGTTAGCGTGCGGAGCCAAAAACGCATCAGTGGAAATCCACCCTAACGTGTCACGGATGTGTTTATATGGGTAGTTTTGAACTTGACTTTAACTGCACACTCTACTTGCAGCACTTCATGTCCATAGTTAATAGAAATCCCATATCGACACTGTATCGAGCTTTTCCGGAACGGGTTGGTCCAAGAATTCTATGGCTTGAAAGCGTTGATTATTTTGGAACAACTGATCACTTCAGTGGTCGAAAAAAAAAGAATAATCTTAATGAGCAAAACTTCAAGGTTTACTGGAAAATCAGGATCGAGGATCGAGGATCGAGAAATCAGGGATCAAGGATCGGTTAAAAAGAACTTGAAAATAAAATAAATAAATAAATCGTGGATCAGTGATGATGTGGGCCGCAGACTGTAGATAAATTTCACAGAACATAACCCCGTTCGCTGTACTGAATGCTAAATTCAAGTAAACTAATCCGAGTCTGTCTGAGTCAGTGATTGTTTTGATGAGAAAGTGAAATTTTCCGGGAAAATGAAACACTTTATCCTGGTGACACTGTAAAACAACAAAAAACTTTTAACAGTTTTCAATTTTTTAGTGTACATTTGCTTTCAGTACTCCTTATTTTTCTCGTAATTGTTGTATGCACGACCCCACCAGCAATGCTGATCTTTTTATCGTGCCATAAACTAAGGTTCTTACCTACCCATCTATCTATCTATCTGTCTGTCTGTCTGTCTATCTGCCTATTTATCTATCTATCTATCTATCTATCTATCTATCTATCTATCTATCTATCTATCTATCTATCTATCTATCTATCTATAAATCTATCTAGCTATCTATCTATCTATCTATCTATCTATCTATCTAAAATGCTTGCTGTGTACAACTCTAAACATTGTACTCTGAGACTGTACGGAGATATTAAAAGTAGATACTAAGCAGCTATGGAAAATGTCATTACTTTCATGCGATATTGATATCTTATAAAACGGACAACAAATTCAGCAGGAATATTTGCGAACTGAATTAACTGTGTGTTGTATAAGGTTCTGTTCAACTTACACTTTTTTCCTGTGATGAACATATAAAGTACCGAGCCGTATCTTGGTCCAGTACAAAGAAGCTATGTATATTTAAACTGACAGAGTCATGGGCCCCTGATACCAATAAAAATCATCGTTCAATTTTTCGAGTGTAGAATCCCTGAAAGAGTACTCCTCAATGGAGCAATATCAATATGTAAAAGGTTTTCAAAGGTTTCACACCGGTTTGAGGCTAAGATGTGCAGCCTGTCTCTCCTTGCAATTTTTACTTTTTGAGTATATACATTATGACATACAACACTCGTATTGTATTCCAAACGAAAAAGTAGTATAACGGCACCGGGGCCTTTGACATTAAAACTCCTCTCCAAGCAAGCGAGACTCAACGCTACTAAGAGCATTCTTGTTTTATAGAGTATTAAATTAATTTGGAATTATATATGTACACGTAGAGTACATGTCAATACAGAAGAAAATAAAGTGTTTATTTTCATAAAAAAGGTGCTGATTACAATTTGATCAGTCATGTGTAAAAGCATGACATTTGGTATAGAAACCACTGCTCACAGGATAACATTATCATCCATGCATTGTTTAACAGCTTGCCTAAACGTTCGTTAATACAGAAATGCACTGTAAGATGATAACTTGTACAAGAAGAAGGTTATGTTATCTTGTGAGCAGTGGTTTCTATACCAAATGTCATGCCTTTACACATGACTAATAATATTATTCATGCCACAAAGCAACAAACCTCAATAATTTCATCTGTGTGAAAAAACACTGTGGTGGTATAAACTGTTAATTCCCCTGCATCTTCTCGTCGTGAAAACTTCTCCAACTCTTTCATAGTTTCACTAAACCATTTTCTAGGTTTCAAACAAACACCAGAAGAGCTTTTCTTTCAGATATAAAATAGAGTGCAAAAGACAGTAGCTTAACTTTTAGAAATTTGGTTCCTTATTAGTGCACGCAGTTGCACATATATAGACTGCAAACTTCATCAGAACTACAGTTCAGCATGACTGAAAATTCTTTATAAAAAAGTTATAATAAAATTATGTCCAGTACCAGGTCACCTTTTATGTGAAGCGCACCTGAAAAAAATGTCTGACAAATATCACATTGAGTTTTGATTTCTTTTATAATCACCAAGCACATCTTCAGTTACAAATTACTCTTTAGTATTTTGATCTATCTGAACAACATGTCTGACAGAAGGTAGGATATGGTCTGTAATGGCAAATTTTTGTTGGACACAAGAATAGATATGGGCTCTATATATTCTGTTCAACAAGTTTCAAACTGCTGGACGAAGGATGTTCCAGTTTTTATTCACAACCCCCCCCCCCCCCCACCCAAGGATGGCTGGGATCCAAACCCCTTAATTTCTGTTGGGGCCCTTTGAAAAATGAAATCTGAGGGTTACTGTTCATCAACACCCTTCAAAAAAAATATCTAGGGGGTCCAGATTTTGTTGGCTTCTTCAAAGAAAAAATGTGAAGTCCCCTATACAAAAACCTGCCTTCCTTAGGTGGTTATTCCTGGGGGGGTACTTGACCAAGATTAGGGTATGGGTGAGCTGCTGAGGGTTTGAAACTTTAACCATGTTTAGAACAAAAAAATTCCAAAATACATACCCAGTTTAGGACAAGACTCAATTTTATTTAAAACCATACACTGTCCAGCAGCACATACCTTCATGGGCCATACAAGGGAGTGCCCCCCCTGGAGGGTATATGGACATAAAAAGAATGTCCCCAGAGAGAGCCCGAGACCACTACAAATTTTTGTTGTTCAACAAATGTTGCAGATCCTGTTTAACAAACGTTGAGAAGTGTGGCATGCCATGTTGAAAGTTCAAACAGGCCACTTAACGTGTTGAACGTTGTCCAACGAGAAATTCCAGAGAGACAACATTTTGTTGATCGACAAATGTTAATAAACCGTACATTCAGGCATTCACGTTGTTAATCAGCGTACACACTAATCTTACATTTCCAATCGAAATAGCCTTATATATTAAGCTTACCTTTGTAAGTGGATCGGAGTATTTTCCAACACAAAGGGCATTATCAATCCTGCGGCTCCATCGCTAGTTGTATTTGGAGTAAATTTATCAGCTATCAAAGTTACTTTCACCCTAGGATCTCTTTCCAAAATACAAACAGCTGAGGAAAGGCCGATTATACCCCCTCCGACCACTGCAACAGACGCCATGATTTTCCTGCTCAGTAACCAAACCTGGGACAGCGCAAAGAGAAACAGCGAGGGGTAGGGTAGGGGTGAGCCCAAGGAAACTTTCCTTCGCGCTGCCAGTAGTCGGAGTGGTCAGTTGACGGGAAGTCCGCCATTATTGTTGTTCAGTTGGCATATAAAGTTAGATGGTACAGATGATAAATTACATCCACGAGTAACAATTGATCAGCAAACTTGAAAATGAGAAGTGTGGAAACTATTACACACAATTTCGCTCTGTTACCCTCTATTTTGTACATAATAACAAAAACGGTTCGGTGTAATTTGTTCTCGCAGGCTAGTACGAGAACAACTTCAGATAAAGATTTCCTAGCCTGATCGAATTTCAGACTTCACTGTTCACCTCGAGTCGAAGGAATGTCTGAAATTCGGGCTAATAGATGTCCCTAGATAGATTTTCGATGTTTTCCATTATCAATCGATAACCCGAAATTAACGATTTTTATCGATTTCGATTTTATTTATTGACCACCAATGTGACCAATGTGGCACGGGTTCAAATCCCGGCGTCGACGCCACTAATATGTGGGTTGAGTTTGTTGTTGCTTCTCCCCTTTGCTTCGAGAGGTTTTTCACCTGGTACTCCGGTTTTCCCCCTCTCCTCAAAAACCAACATTTCCAAATTAATAATAATAATAATAATAATAATAATAATAATAATAATAATAATAATAATAATAATAATAATAATAATAATAATAATAATAATAATAATAATTTAATTAGTATACTTATATTGCGCAGGTATTCATAAAAATGATCAAATGCGCATTCCAATTCGATCAGGAATCAGATAGACGAAGAACCACTTCAGTGTGGATTTGCTACCTCCAAGCCATTATTCATTTTATTTATTATTTATCTATTTACTACACCCGGAACTAATTTTGAAATCGTGAAAATCTGGGCTCTTACAAACGTAGACTGCAAAACAGTCGTTTTTTTTTTCTCAAAATCAGTAAAGAAATCGGTAAAAGCGTTCTCTCTGTTTTCAGCCTCGTTCCAGACCTTTTGTTTGACTGCTCGTGCGTACTTGAATACGCAAATATACGGTCGACTGTTTTGCAGTCTACGTCCTGCGTAGCATAGCGGGTTTGTCGGGAGCGCCACTGACAACAAGCAAGCCGAACCTCCAAGCCGATCCTCCATGCTACGCAGGCTAACCTCCACACGGGACGCCAATATCTTCTCCCTCGGCCTCTCTTGACAGTGTTGAATAAAATTTAGCGGACCTCTCCGGACACCAATTTCTGATTAATTTCAAGCGTTTAATTGGTCTAAAAATAACTTTGGTGAAATTCACATATCCCAGGGGCTAGACTCGGTGTTTCTTTCTCTGTCCCATTATGAGTCTTGTTATTTAATGTTTGGAGTTGTTGGCCAGTAATGTTGCTCCCGACCCGAGACTTTTAGCATTAGATTTTTTTATGTTAAACGACTCACGGCAAAATTGAGGATGATTGCAGTTCACGTTTGAACGGCAGGCTTGGCTACAAATTCTGTGATTGCTTCTCAGTAGTTTCGTTATTAAAATATATTTCCTGATGACGAAAATGATTTTATGAAAGCAATGAGGTGGCTCTTCAACATCCTCAGCTTAAAACCTACACACTTGCATTTTACCAAGTGTTTTTGTTATTTTTTCCTTATTTTTTGTTTTTCTTTTCTGTTTGAAAACTGACAAACGCGAAGCAAAGTTGTGTCGCGGAAATCAGTATGTATAAACACGAAACGAATAAAGCATTTACCAAACGAAGAACGAACCTAGACTATGACTGAGTTCGTGACTCGATTGTAACTCTTTAATTAATTTCGCGTTCTATTTCCTTGTGGAAGAATGATGTGACAAACAAAACAAACAAACAGATTTTGGCCACATTTCACCGAAGGATCCTCTCAAAGGAAAAAGTTCGTTACAAGTCAATAGCTCGAACTGAATCTTTTAGTCCACTTCAATTTATAATACAGGCCTTGTTAGACTGAAAATTCACTTCGGGTTCGATCATGACACAGCATTACGTCAGCCTATATATTAAAGATTTAGAAAAAGTGAATACATTGAGCGCTGTACGTGCTCAACTAACAATAATTGATGCACCTGTTTTGTCATGACTTGTTGATAGTAACAATGTGTATAGCAAATCATTGAACGCTATTGAAGCCGATCATTGCTTATGTTTTAATGAGGCAGCTAGAGAGAGAGAGAAGAATTTTTCGGGATCAGCATCGAGAAATGCAAACACTGGCCGGATTTTTTTAGTGATTTTTAGCAAAATCCATGGTGATATTTAAAATTATGTGTTGCTGCATGCTCAGGATTAATAAGTTTGGTGCAAACTGGGGACAAGGAGAAACAAAACGAAGGTATGTAAAGCATATTTTCACAAAGCGAAACTGTCAAATTTTATAGATTGTTAAGTTTAACTCAAAGAATTAATGATCCTCTATCATTTCACATTTTAATGACCGGTACTGTTACGTAACTTGAATTGAACAGTATTTGCTACGACTTGTGTTGCGTTTTTAACTCGCAAAAAAAACATTTTCATGATCGCTCGGCCATTCTCATGGCCTTGAATCTATTGACTTTCAAAACAATGCAGTCATTACAGTCGAAGGCCACCAGGAAACATGTTCTGCTCTGGTGACCCGCTTTAATCACTATCACTAAATCGCTTTGATCCTATCACCCCCGGAAATTGGCTCAATATCCTGACAGACCCATCCACGAAGAAAAAGGGGCAGAAGGCGCGTCCAGCAACGACGATCACTTCAGTGGTGCAAAAAAGAGAAAAAGTATAGGATACCTCTCGTACCATAAAATACGAAGAGGTTCTAAACAATTTTAAATCTATGCCTGCGCAGTCTGGTGCGTGACCATTCGCGTTCCCTCGCACGCGAAACGAGCTAAATCACCCAGTCTAGTTCAGTTAACAAAGCATATCTTAGCCCTCCACATCTTTCCGACCGAGAAAATAATAAATGAGTCAGCATTTGCAGTCATGAGCTAATTTTTCTGTATCAGTGAGCAGTATTCAAAAATTGTGAAACAATACCAATTAACTGCACTGAAGGCACGCGTACCAACTCCGCGCAGTTACCGTAATTGGTATTGTTTCAAAAATAGCGCAACGTTTACATAATGGCATAAATTTTACTTTGGTGTTCTACTTGTTTTGCGGTTTCCTCCAGTTTCTACCCCTGGTTTTTTACGGCCAAGTTTGAACAAATGTGTACAAGTTTCTACAAATGAGTTTGTTTGTACAAATGTGTTACCAACCAAGCCGCTATCGATATCCCTTGCTATGTAGATCATCAGTCTTTCCTAAAAACCAGAGCATCTCATCCACTGAAATTTATCCCACTTCAGCTACTGGCCGAGAGCTATCACTGACTGGAATAGCCTGACATCTGATTACTTAACAATGGATTCAACATTTAAAGCCACTATCTCTGACTGCATTTTTTCAGTGTGATGTTTACCCCTTTCAATTTATTGTATTTTTATTTTTATGTTTCCTAGTAGTAGTGCTTTAGTTTTTAGTTAGGAGCTTGCGAATATGTCTGTTATAGATGTTGCAAGATGATATATGTAAATGTAAATGTCGTTCACGGTCTTTGGGGACAACAATGCGACACTCTCGCGTTGCGTGACGCAGTATGCACTGCGTGACAACGAACAACACGCGTCTGAAGATCTGTGATTGTTTATCACACAGCTGAAAAAACAGCAGCTCTTTGAAATGCACATATATTAGAACTATTGGCAAAATATTTACATGGCTAAGCACTCGGAGTAACAAGCCATAACTTCCTATTACGACAATTACAGTATACTGACAACACTTCAGCAATTAGCAATTGCTGGATTGCAGCACCATTGACTCAAAAGCGACACATTCCCGGCGATACAATTGTCCCGTGTTGTTATTTTCCTACGGAACTTGTGAACGAATCCGAAAGATAATGACAGGGATTAAATTTCAAAATATTATCGCAAGGAGCTCACTCACCTCTTGAAGCAAAACATGTGAGGGCGAGAGATCACAAGATACAGCCCAAGATATGTCGACAGGAAATCGCGGGGTTCTGAAAGTCTTTCGCCGAGCTGCCAAGAAAGCAAAGAACTTTCGACTGTTTACAAAAAGGTAAGTTCGATAGCTAAATTTTGAGCTCTCATGGAATGCCAAGAATTATGTATTTGTGAATGATAAAGTTAGGTCAATTCTGTTTGCTAGTAAGATTTCCTCAGGAAAATTGCATTTTCTTGAAGTAAAGTAGCAGTGGAGGTGGCTTAATCGCTCTAACGGGAAACAGTTCTTTTGGCAACCGAATTCGAAATCTGTGCAAACGCCAAACAAACAGTTTGTGGCCTTCGTCGTGTAATTAACACTGAAGCTGAGTTTCAGATGGTTAGAGATCACAAAGAAAAGATTGATTTTGAACGCTTACGCTTTGTTGGAAGGCATTTAAAACAAAAAACAAGGAAAATAATATTGCGTCTCGTCGATCATATGAATTATATTAACAATCGCCTCGGTATCAGGCCAAAAATTATTTATTTCCTTACGTACCATTCAACAAGATCTCTGAACTGACTGAAAGACTGCGCTGGTTTCGGATTATCTGTGGCCATTTCCTTTGTTTCGGTTTGTTTATTAAATACAGGCCTAAGAGTCAAAATTTGAGATTTAGGACCGAATTAGCATAACAAGCACAATATTAGATTGACAAAACAAACACAAATTTATAAAAATTTCCTCCCGATAGGGAAATTATTTTGTGTACTGTACGTACAGAATAGCACCTTACCATATAAAGCAAAGGCACGCGCAGCTCTGATGAACTTGACCTTCGGACGTTCAAGGTCACGCAATGGACTTTTGCTCAATATATGACCGTTTAAAATCTTCAACAAGATGAATTTTTATTGCTCTTGCAAGCCACAAGAAAAAGACTTACAGAGGAAAATGTTCTTTTCTGGTTTTCGACTAACTCTGGCTTGATTCCTTCTTTTTTGATACGCGGAAACAAACTGAACATAACTCCATAGGAATAATCCAGCATGAATAAGCTTTTTGTTGGAAACAAGACATTTTTTCTATCATATTTTTAAGCTAAAATCTCCACCATTATGAAGTTGTATTGAATTGACGTCGCTGAATATAAACGTCTTTTCAATGACGTCGACACGAGTTTGACAATGTTTACATTTATTTGTCACGTTACGTTTTTGACCCTTTTTGTTAGTTTCCGGTTGTGGAGCAATTGTTGCGCTGCGGACGAAAATTTTTTTCAGATATTTTATTTTTTCTTGCCTGTAAATATATATTTTCGGGTACTTTATTTTCCTCACAACTTAGAGATAACTAATACCCAATCTAACTTGTATATTAAAGTTTGGTTTTGAGGTTAGCGGCGTATTTATACTCCTGGCCCTTCGGGAAGAGGCTTCGATCTCGTAAAAAAAAATCGAAAAGATGTTTTTTAAATGTTCTGGAGAAATGGTGCATGTATAGTTATTAGGTTTATAACGATTTCCAGAAAACTGGATAAAACTTTATCTATTCATCATGAGATGAGGGTGTATAAAGTTTGTTATCTACTAAGCGTACCGCACTGAATTCTTTAAATACTTGTTGTTAAAAATATCCTTCAACTTCGAGATGACTTTACTTCAATATTAAATGATGTACTGTGCACTGATTTTTGGGAAATGAAGACAGTTATGGAATTTCAACAATTGTCATTTCTCTCCCGGTGAAGCAAATATAACATATGTGTTGTGATGAGCCTCTATAAGAAAGTAGTCAAGAACAAGGCCGAATCGTCAGGGTAGTGGGCGAGTGGAATGCGATCATGTCGTTTATAAACGGAAACCAAACATCATCGATTTTCACACGTTTTGTTACTGTAAAGCCGAATTTTCAACATGACCTTTCAAACAAAGAATTGATACATATACACTTTTGTAAACTTTTGAAAGCCAGTTCAATTTTATGTAAGTATAAATTCTATGTTTACTAATGTATGTACTCTGGAATGTACTTACTCAAACCCTGTCTGTCTTTTTGCACGTGACCAATTTCACTTTACTTGCGTGATCTCACCGGATTCAAATATCATTTGTGTTACCTTTTCAATTACATGAAATCCGAGACGCCAAAAAATTCACAACCCTGCGGCCTTCCGTCAATTGAACACACTTTTCACACGTGCTTCCTTTTCTAACGCTTTTTTGACATTTTGCAGATGTAAATTGTGAGAACTAGAACAACAGAATTGAGTGCAATTTTTAACCCTTTAGCTGCCAAATAAACTTGAATTGAAATCAAGCTAAATGTCGCTGAGTTTCGGGGGCCTCTTTTGGTCTTTTGGTCATGCCTATTTCCTGTTGATACTGTTGATGTAAAGTCCAAGATTGACACTTGGCCTTTCTTATAAGTCAGTGTGACTTCCGGTGAGCAAACCAGAATTCCAGAAAGCGCCGGTCGTCGGGTACTTGCCATCACCTTAGCGGATTGCATTTGTAGCTGGCCAAGGATAGGAAGGACATGCAGCTTTTTTCTATGCTGTCTGAGACTCTGGAAGATTTTTTCAATTGGTAAGATTGAAAGTATCATGTAGAAAATTGCGAAAAATTGAAAAAATGACACAAAATTCAGTGGAAACGAGGCCAAAGAGCTGCTCATGCGCAAACAGTTATTTCATCTTTATTTTCATCTTTTGTGAAAACTACACGGGGATGACCTCAAGAAACCTTAGCGGTGATTTTTGACCGTTTAGGAACAACCACTGTAGTGTTGTAGTATTTAATGATGTGACCGTTGGTCCAATATGTCCTTGGTAACTGTGCTGCGTTCTCCGTCGACGTCTGAAAGCACCAGCTTGGGCGATTCGGTAAATTGTTTGCTCATCCATCTTTGGTGTGATTTCTCGATCGTATTTGATATGAATGATCAATTTCTGCTCTGCTCGATCAGTTGTTGTATATTTTTGTTTCAATTAATTGATTGACTTGTAGGAAGTCGACGAAGATCAGGAAGATAGTTCATTCAATAGGTCCCGAGCGTAAGTCTTTTCTTTTTCTTGCTTTGTTTATTTTGTCAATCCTGTCAAGAAACAGCTCCTAGATCTGTCTTGGGATAAACGATAAAGCTGGAAGGTTTGCCTTTTGTCTGGTTTGATTACTTGGCTATAAGGAAATACCTTCTCTTCCTCTTTGTAACCTGCCAATGCTTGCTATTCCCATAGGGCACATGTATTTTAAAGTAATGTTGTCATTGAAAAATGCAAAAATTCCCGAACCGCGCATATACTACAAAAATGCAAGGTTATAGTTTTTGCCATTTCATTTCGTTGATATTTTTATAATCTGATCAAAGGGAAAGCCTGAGTGTTTTCTGCTCTGTCTCTGAACTCTATCCCTCTTTAAGTTGAGATTTAAAATTTTTCATTATAATTTCTTATCGCGTTACAGGGATGTTATTTTAATCTTTTTTGTCAGACGCACGCCCACAAACCCAAAATAAAGTTTAAATTCGAGAAGTGGATTAATGAAGTTAAAGCCATTTAAATTTCCTTCTTTTGTGCTTATTACTGCCTTCGAATTTCATTCGTGTTTTATTTCTAATCTGTAGGAAAACGAGTAATGGTCTGGATTTGTCTCATTACATTGAAATCTCAGAAAATTCCTTTCCTTTCTCAAATTATCTCTTATATGTGGTATTTCTGTGGTACTAACTTTGACATTCCCTGATGCACGTTTTACAGACTGCTTTAAAATTAAAAAGCCTTTTATTGGCTATTGTAAGGACCTTTTGCTTCAAGAATAACCAGATTATTTTTTTGGGTTCAATACAATTTACAAAACTATTAACCTAAAAATGGAATTGATTGACCTGTCAATCATTGCACATGCATCAAAATCTTCTGCTTGTTTTACCAAAGGTTGTGTTAACATGAAAAAAAAAAAAAATTCTTCAGTACATCTTGGCTCTTGTCGTGCCAGACAGATTTGCAGCTTTCAGTTGGTTAGTTAGTTTTAAAAGCTGCAACTTCACTTGTGGCTGATCCTGCCATTATTTGAGCGGCAGGGGTGGGTGCAGTAATGGCATGTGAAGTTGTCTGAGATGGCAGTCATTAATGCACTCTCAGTTTTCTTTGATGGCATTGTCTTCCTTTTTGGGAAGGGCTTCTTCTGTCATACCGTGGTCCTCGAGACTGCTTAGTGTGATGCGATCCTCATCTAGGACTTTGGGTACATCTGTAGGTGCTTCATGGCACCCTTAGTAGTAACTAAAGTCTGCCCTTAGAATGCTGGCCACAAGAGGGTTCACCACTGTTTTGGCATATGGGTGTTATCCATCCTTTAAACACACCTGAGCCACTTCATTTTTCTCCTGTTCAGGATAGTTGTTATGCTAGCGAGCCCTGCCCTCTTGTGAATTTTACAGTTGAAACATAAAATCTTTCCTCTTCCATGTCTCAGAGGTATTCATAGATAGGCTTTGGTCTTTGGTAAATGCACTTGTTGTGTAAGGTTCTCTTTCTTGTTTGAGAAACGGAAAGCACAGTGATAATGTTACAACCCATACTGGAATAGGAAGGCTGTCATTGCCAGAACAACAGGACAAAACAGGATGGGTTGAATAGACAACACGACAGCCTTAGCTTATACACCTTCTGTTGCAGTGGGAAAGGATAGTTAATGATAATCTTTACATATATAATGTTCTTTGCCTTCCATGGTCTCCTTTAATTCTCTTTGCAACCATTTAGTTGCTGTTTTGTTCTCTATTAAGTGTAATTTGTACATTTACTTTCTTCTTTTATTTTCTCCTGTTGTGCATGGTTTCTGCAGTATACAGAAATCCTATAGCTAACCAAAGTACTGTCATTCCTTTGGCAAGTTCTATACCTTAATTTGTTTATTTACAATCAGTAAGAGATGATTTCCAATTAGCATAGTTACACTGTAGTTAAAAGGTCACGAATCAACTGAATGTTTTGACAAAAGTTAGTAAGCAGGGGGTCTTTCCACTGTATTAGCCTTCTTCAGTCATTTTATCCGTCCTTGAGTTTTGAAGTAGAAGTGGTCATAAAAAGTTTGCATAGCACTTTTCTAGTAAGTAAATATCATTTTTTATAGTCAAATTGTTTCTTTCCTGTCTCTTAACTTTTTTTACTTTATTTTTAATAACATTGAGTTGTTGTCTGAATTCCAAACAAAAGACTTGTTTTGAATTAGAACCCCTGCACACATTAAGAGTATGCAAGCCTCATGTAACTACACCTGTCAGTTCATTGTTACTGTAGCTTTCATTATTTTTTTCTGGCAGTGGCCCATTTCCACCCCCTACTAGAATACATCCTATGGTAATCTTAGGTTGCAGAGTAATGTATATTTGCTATTGTCTTCTGCATTGTAATATATTAATTTATTATTGTTTTGGGTTTAACCATGAGTGAGAGTACTGTTATCTTTTGTTATGAAAATAATAATAATAAGTAATCCTATTAATATCTTTATAGTCCATTTTTGCTTTTCTGGCACATGCTTAAATCATGGTCACCTTGCATGCATGTATATTTTTGACAGTTATACTAAATGCTTTAGAGCAACTTTTAAACTACTATCTTAGTAGTGTTCTGTCATTGAAATCCTAAATGATGAGGAACTCCTTTATGAAGTGTCCTTGCTGCTCACTACTTGTTGATTCTTTCAAGCATTTTAAAAGGTCACTTTTATAATCATTCATTATTTAAAACTGTTGACAATGTCTGCTGGCAGCCGGACTCGAGGATGAATTCATGAACCTGACTGTTTGATATTGATGAATGGGGAACATTGTTAGTTACATCTTAAGAAATGAGAAATTTATAAAACAATCTGACAGTATAAATATTATTTTTACAAAGGTGTCATACTTTTACGCTGTAATTTAGTTGAGATCAATCATATTGTGATTATTAGGAGCAACACAGTACATGCTCTTTGCAATTTGCTGTTTGTCATCATTGTAAACTCTTAATGGTTGTAACTTTCAGGTCAAGTTTTGAAGGTTTCTTTGCATCCAAAGGAGCAGCATATGCACTGCCTGATGGCGACTTTGCTCGGCGAGCCACTAAACATGGAGGTATGTGAATATGTTCTAGTTATTATTCTTGCTTCTGATCACTATTTTGAAAAAAGATTGAAGTTGTTTCCATCTTCATTGTATAGGTCGATGGTATTACATGTAACTTGTTATGCCTTAAATCTATTTCAGGAGAGATGCAGTTGCATTTGCAGGCCATGGTCAATTTGTTACGGGATGAAGATGAGCTTAGACTTGTAAGAATCTCTTTTTTGTCCTTGTACAATGTACCTAAATAAAGTAATGTCATATTTACCAATTACTGTAAAATATCTACATGTAAAACCTACATCGCAGCTTGTATGTTACTGGAATGTTGGAATTCTAGTCCCGAGTTTCAGATTTTCCCCTTAAAGTCATTGCTTTCTGTTGTGGTCTTGCAAATTGGCTGTGGTTTGGGCATTTTAATTTTTCTTTCCTTGTCTCTAATCTTCCAGGCTTACTTGGGCCACAACCTTTGACATAATTTATACTCTAATCACACTACTAAATTTCATATGGTTTACCGGTGTACATGTATGCAGCCTCCGTGCCTGAACTTAATTCTGTGCAGCAGTTCCTTCGCAGATGTCATAAACACCATTATTTTTATGTTCTATGCTATAGATATATACGATTTGCTTGAAAAAACGGACTGGTCAATCTCTTAGAAGATTAGTTGCCTACCTACTCATCCTTTGAATAATTTGTTCCCCAGAGTTAAAGATTCTTCAAAACATCTGAGAACTCAAACAAGCCTACTACCCTGCGTTAATACGGAATGTTTTAAAGCTAGTTTTATTAATAGACTATTTTAAATATACTTTTACATTTTAACTAATAACATTAAACATGTAAATATATAGGTATGTATTTATACTTGCATATTCAATAAAAACCAAAGACTAAAGACTGTACATGTACGGTGTATACCAGACAAGATAAATAGCTTGTCTGACTAAAGCCAATACATTGCTAATGGGTGTCAGGGGAATTAAACATCAAAAATGCTTTATAACCAACACATAGTTATGAATTTGTATATCCATATGCACTTTATTAGACTTTCTAGAAGTGCTTTATTTTTTCCTGGTTGGCTATGCCATTTTAAAGGACTTTTTTCACTTGTTTGATGTGAAATTCACTGGTCGAAAATTCCACTGGTGATGTCATTACAATTGACCAGTAGGAGCCTGAGTGATGCAATGTACTTGATGCCACTCCCGCCACAGCATACATGTATGCCAATCATTTTTCCCCATGTATGATTCAAATCCAGGTGAAACAAGTCGACCTCGCGACTTCATCACTGGCTTGGCTGCTACATGACCTCATGGAAGCTTGCTTCGCTTGCTTTTAAGAATTATGAGAGGTCCAATTGTAGCAAGTTAAGCACTGTATCTATATATACCCTTCAAAACAACATTAAATCTGTCTTTTCTATTTACTCAAGACTGTCCACTGCTTAAGCCAGACAATTTGATATTACTGGCTTTATGGCATTAAATTTTATTACTGATTTTTTTATATTTATTGATTATTGTCTCATTTTGAGTAAAATGTTTGATGTTATGATGTTCTACCATTAGATACAAGTCTGATATCTTCAATCTCTTTGTGTTTAGGTTGTTAAACTGGAATGTCAGTATCCACACAGAATTCGCTACTTAACCATAGTGTCAGCATTTGGCCCCGATGAAGAAGAACAAAGCATTGTTATGGGAGTGGACTGGACTGACAAGTGAGAAAATGCTTATAATGATTTAATTTATAAATCAAAGCAGTGAATGTCATGATACAACAGCTTGCAGGGCTGCATGTTTCCTGCTTCAAGTTACAATCTACAAGACCTGTACAGCCCGGGGAGGAGTCAGTGAGGCATTACCCCCCCACTACTACTATTTAAGTGAAATACAAAAAAATTGATAAGATAAGTTTTTTGGATACTAGATTACGTATCTGGGTTTGAATTATTGTGAATTTTCAAAGTCAAAATCCTGGGTTATCTAAATCCTTCTTTGAACAGTCTGTTGAGGAGATTAGCCAAGGTTTATAGGGATTGCTCTTGGGGGGTAATTGTAACTCTTCTATTGTAATTAGTCTTCAAATAATTAAAAGGAAAAAGTAACTTTTTAAAACTGGCAACTGATTTGTGTTTTATACTGCTTTCTCTGCAGGGCCACTATTGGTCTTGTGGTTCCTTTGTACAGGGACACTAGTATCTCTCTGGATGGAGATGGGTAAGTTTTAATTCTTGTTACAAATGTATGAATCTTCTTTCTCATTTTAAATCTGGCTAAACAATCGCCTCCCTCTAAGACAGACATCTTTGGGCCAGCAAGTCCTATGTGTTCATTTTATAGAGAGTCAACTGAAAGGATTATACAAAGGCATACGTATGTCTTAGTGAGGTGTCTGTTAGAGATTTGACTGTATTGTACGTTAAACTTTAGGCAGTATGCTAGCATGGGTCTTCCTCATGGTGTCTCAGTTATTGTGGGGATGTTATAATTTATACCAATGCCTTCAGCAGTGTCGGATCCAGACCTCGAGATCAGGGGGGGCCCCCATCATCCAGACCCTTAGATGGTGGGAGGTGGGGGGACCTCCAAAAAATTTTTTTCAGCCCTTTGGGCCATTTATATCATACACCAATGGTCAGCTATTGATTATTATTATTATTATTACTATTATTATTACTATTATTATTATTATTATTATTATTATTATTATTATTATTATTACCATTATCACCATTATCACTATACAGTTTTGGTGCTTCTTTGTACTCTTTTATATTTGCAGTATTATGATGTCAATATTTTCATTATTTAAAATAGTGGCTTTAAAATGATGTCAGCCGGCAAAGCAAACATTTTCAAGCCAATCTCTGTTCAAACCATGTGGTAAGTATGGCTAGAACTTTTAAATTGTCTGGCTTTATTTGCCGTAAAGGTTAAAGGAGTTGTCTTTTTAATACTGAGTAGGGTAATTGGACAGTAATTTTGTCCCAAACTCCCTCTTGATGTCAACAATGCTTCTGAAATGGTTATAGATCAATCCAGGGATGTTGTAAAATATGATTAGTACCGTATTTATTCGACTATAAGCCGAGCGATTTTTACACAAATTAAAACTGAAGTTAATTAAAATTTGGGCTCTAGAGGGGGTCTCGGCTTATAGCCGAAAGTTTTTGAAAAAAAAATTTTTCCGGCGCATGGAAACTCTACTAAATCGAGATGTATTTACTTATAAGCCGAGCTAAAGTACAGAAACACAATATGCAATCGTTGGTTATTAACTCTTAAGAATGTGGTGGCTCCTAAAGGAGGCGTTTGATAAATTTAATGTGTTTTCACAGAAAAGATAAAGATTCTTGATAGGGAATAACCGTGACGCTGACGGGATGTGATTACAAATCGATGGAACTTGACTGTTTGCTGCTCCAAATCTTCTGGGAGACGCTGAGCGAGTGTTGTTTTGGTGCGAAGGCTGACGGAATGGCGGCGCTTCCATTTCTGGTACCAGCCGAGGGACGCTTTAAACTCAGGATCCTCGCTGAATTCCTTTGCCTTTAGACGTAGCATCAATCCGCTAACAGCTATTCCTATGTAAAACGAAGTGAGAAGGTTACCAAACGATCGAAAGGTTAAAAATTTGACACGTCTTGAATTTGTTTTGACATTTGTGAAAACTGGCCAATGAGAATCTTTCATACACAATGTTGTCACATGATACTACGATAGTTTTGAGAGTCACGCATTCAACTCTTATTCACTCTGCAATCAGCTGATTGATTTATTTCGTGATCTTGTTTCTGTTGTTTTAAAATACAAAATCAATGCTCGACAAAAAACTTACCTTGGCTTCTCTGCTCTGTAAACCATTCCAGCATTCTTTGATCGAGCTCCGGATACTTCGGCGTAAAGCATCCCATCGTCTTCCGTTTCGCTGACAATTTAATCTCGCCGTTAAAAAGGTTCGCTTGATCTTTCCTCCAGCGACGAACTATGGACTCACTGATGCCACATTCTCTGGCGATTTCAGAGTTATTTTCAACAGCTTCTGCTTCGGCGACTATTTTAAGTTTAAGCGCGAGGTTGTATGACGTGCGACAAGCCTTGGGCATTATGACAACTTGACTTGAAATAAACGATTGCGTGCACGAGATTGTTTGATAGACGCTACAGATGTCTAGGTACTGGTGATGCCACTTAACAACACAGTTAGTTTTAAATTCATTTTTTGGATCACATTAATTCATCTGAGTTATGATTCATTGCTTTTCAATTGAATAATTAGTTACGGGTAATATTTATTAATTCGCGTGTGTTTTCTAAGACGGAAGCTTTTTGCCTAACAAATCACCACGGCATCTCTTGTATACGCGCGTGTGTGTTATCGTCTAAGCCTCATTTATGACAATCAATGTGATTTTTTTCCGAAAATGTTAGGTTTTCCCGTAGTTAACAATTCAGTCTTGTAATAATGAATGGGTCTCGGCTTATAGCCGGGTGTTTTCGATTTATTTTTGGTTCTCGTTATGCCGAGTCTACACGTTCAAAGTTTGGGGTCTCGGCTTATAGCCGAGATCGGCTTATAGTCGAATAAATACGGTAGATCAGAGGCACTGTTTTCCTCTCCTTCTTCTTTTTTTGAGAGGAGGGTCAGCAATGTATAAAGTACAGTACATGTAACTTCCAAACACAAACCTACCCCTCTGATATATGATGCTGCTCCAAGCTGTAACCTGGAAGGAAGTGTTTGTTTGAAGGAGTGAATGACGTTAATTAATGTTGCTGTTTAGGACTGCTCTACAGTGGATTCACAAGTGTGCTGATAATGCCAGAAGAAACAATTACTTCTACCCAAATGGCTCATCACATGAGTGGGCAGACTATTATTACAGCAAAATTTCATCAGACAGGCTCTGCTTGAATGAATGGTATGTTACTGTTGTGAAACCTTTGCTTCTTTGCAGTTCTTGTTCAAAAGGCAGATTATAATGCCATTCAGGGGATAAATCTCTACCCAGTGGATATTGAGTGATTTGTTTTCCTAATACAAAATGTACCTATCTGGCCCCAGTTGTTCAAAAGCTGGATAGTGCTATCCATCGGGTAAATCACTATCGAGCAGTTAAGTATTATGGAAGGCAATTGCACTATCCACTGGATAGAGATTTATCTGGCCCCGGTTGTTCAAACGTTGGATAGCGCTATCTACTGGATAAATCACTATCCAGCAGATAAGTATTAGGGAAACCAATAGCGCTATCAATTGGATAGATTTTTATCCTGTGGATAGCGCTATCCAACGTTTGAACAACCGTAGCTGGTGGATAGTGCCATCCACCTTTTGAACAACTGGGGCCTGATGGAAAGTGATTTATCTGGTGGATAGTGCTATCCAATATTTTAACAGCTGGTGCCTGTAATGTCTTCAATAGAAGACAAAATGGACATTAGGACCCACAGTTTGTTCATCTTGAAAAATTGTTCGTACATTTAAAGTTATAATGGTGATAATTTCTTTTATCCTTTTAAACCATCCTTAATCTTAATCTTGTTTAGCTAACTTTTAGATGTCTTTGGTATTTTTTTTTCTTTTCTAACAAAATACATTTTAGTAATTTGCAGTTTTCTTCATATTTACCTAGAATATGTATGGCATTTTACATAATTCAAGGATCTGAAATGAGGCAAATCTAAATCTTCATTCCAATTCATGACAACCCTGTGAATTTGAATTTTCTTGGCCGTTAAACTTGAATGTAATTGAGGACAACTTTGTGTCTGATGTACTGATATTGTGATTAATTTGTTTTCGTCCTTTTTGAAATACTTGGTACTTTAGTAATGACTCTAAAGCCTTCTGAAGTATTTTATATTGTTGTGGGATATTTTCCCTGTGATCTTACTATAACTCTAATTCAGTCTATAGATACTATATTACTAACTTGCTTCTTCCTATATTACAGTTGTTGCTTGAAATTAATTACACACTAATGAATTACACCATCAGTTTTCAAGTAGAACCAAAAAAATAATAAATTGGTAACCAAAGCCTCTTTTTATAGGCATCAAATGGAAGACATTGAGTCAAAGCACCCTGATTCCCCCATTGGAACAAGGTAAAAAGAAACATTTGCTGAAAATGTTCCGACTCAATCTGTTCACACCCCACCCACCATCAGGAATGTGCAACATTTCTTTTCTTGAACTGTTAAAGCCATTTGACCTTCTCTGGTTGGACTTGTGCAAGTGCATTGTCAAAAACGTTCTGCTTATTGATGTTTGATCTAGTGTGGTACAAAGAGTAGCAAAAGAAAGACTGTTGTGATCTTCTTATTAAAGGGATATTTTTATATGTATTTGTTGTGTTGAATTCTGAAAAAGCCCTTTCAAGATGTTGATTGCTGTTGAATGAGGATATCATTGGTCTCTATCCAGCAAGTTACAAGTTATAAAAGAATGACAGTGGATTGTTTAATAATGATGAGTTTGTTTTACTAATTTAGCAAGTTGCATTATTGCTTAACATTACCTAAAACGTACATGTATGTAGTGTATGGGAGACAGCCAGTATTGATTTTAATTTTGCAGCACTGAAAAAGAACTTGTTATGAAGCTAATTCGCCACAAACTTAGAGAGGTCAGTTCGATGATTGTTTATGTTAATTATTGCATAATCAAGTCATATTATTTCTGTCTTCAGCATCCTTAGACATTTTTGTCTGCGTGTATTTTACAGGTTATGATGAAAGTCGACCTTGAAGATGTTACTTCACGTCAGGTAACAAGAAATAGTATCTATTTTGATACCATAGAATCCTTTTCCCTTTTTGTCTTGTTAGTATTTTAGGGTCAAGACAATGGTTTTTTTTTCTATTTCTCCCTTGTCCTTTCCATACCATTCTCGACCTTTTAATCTCCTTCTCCATATTTTTCCTTTTTTCTCTCTCATCTAACCCCGCCTCATTCCTCCTTTTCTATTCCACCTCCTCCAATATCACCCTCCTAATATCCCAGTTCTTTCTCTCCATCCTATTCATTTTTTCCCATTCTATTCTCTTCCCTTCTCACTCTCCTTCCTCTCCAATCCTCTTTTCCTTTACCTTTTTCTCATCTGTTTACCACTCCATTACACACCCCTTCCCATCTTTCTTGCTCTCCATACTTCTTGCTTCTTGTCCAAATCCCTCATCATACTACTCACTTCTAATCCTCTCCTTATCATTTACTGTCTTTATCATCTATGTTTCATCTGTCTTTATCTATCTCTATCTTTATCATCTATTGTCCTCCTCTAATCTCCTAGATGGCAGCATGGATTGGACTGCACAACCTTTAGCTTTTAACAGTGGCCAAAGGAAAATAATAATAATAATTATTATTATTATTATTATTACAATAAGACAGAACGAATTTTTTTGTAAAATAGAGAGAAGTAAGTAGTACTATGCGAAAGTTCCAGCAAAGAGGTTTCATGTGAACGGTAACACCATAGGATTTCCTCCACAGATTTAAAAGTTGCAGTGACAAGAATCCCACTATAAAGTGGTCTAGGGATGAAAAGGTCAACATTGAATTTCTTTTTTTCTCTTCCTGTAAGGTGCGAACCATGCTTGAAGAGGATACACAAATGGACTTGAGAGAATACCGTTCATTTATTGACGAGGAAATGTTTACTATACTGGGCCAGATGGACTCTGCATCTAAGATTTTTGATCATCTTTACCTAGTAAGTTCATATAAGCTGGTTTGATTTCTGGTATACAGATACATGTATCATTAACACATCCAAGAAAAAACATCTAATCCAAAAATTAATTAACATTATTATTGATACCAATCTATGAAGGCCCATGTTAGCGTGTTTGTTTGTTGCAGGGTTCAGAATGGAATGCATCCAACTTAGAAGAACTGAAGGAGAATGGGTAACTTCTTAAATTTTTTGCTAGACTGTTTAAGTTCTCTTAGGGGTGCTTGACTAATCTTGTCTGTATGTGATTTTTTTTTCTGTTTTGATTGTGTCTGAATAATTTGTTCTTTAAGTGATATATCTGAACAGTTCTGGCTTCATTTAGGTCACAGTTTTAAGGAGGGTACTTATAAAAATTATCAGCCATGGCAACGAGAATAGCACTTAATTTGAATAGTCCAGTTTCTAGATCTGCTTGCCATAACCGCTGAATAAAAGCACTGAAGACGCATTTTTACATTGTTACCCTCCATCTGAAATGAATATATTCGGGTTTTTAAGATGCCAGGGGCCCGTTTCTCGAAAGTCCCGGTAACTATACGGGCCCGAAATCAAATATTCAAATCGAAATATAAAGAATAGGAGCGCTGGTCCTAGCTAGCAAACTACTCCACTTTGTTTCATTAACTGACAGTTTTATCATGTTAGATGCAAAACTCTTGAAACCTCGATCTTTAATGTAAACGGAGACAGCTTACCGGGCCCGTTTATTATCGGGACTTTCGAAAAACGGGCCCCAGGACGGTGACGACAGCGAGGACGTCAAAAAAGCGATAGGCTGAATAAGCAAAACAACTACGCTGCACGTGCATCACCGTCGCTTTTTTGTACATTTCTTTGCTGTCACTGCACGACTACGACGGGAAAATGCCAAATTTCACGTTTTATGAGGGACATAATTAGGAATTCGGCTCAAATAGAGTTGGCTTACATTTGACAAAGTAAACGAGTTTGAGTAATCGCGTGATAGGTTTAAAGAACGCAAATTCGCTTTTTAAGCGACGTTTTCTTGGGCGTCGCCGTCGGGGTATCTTAAACTCCCTATTCACAACAGCGATAAGACGACCAGTTTACAACTCTGTCTATTGTTTATTTTTGTGAATTTGAGGTATCTTTCTCCCGCTATTTTTGAACATTTTACTTCAGTTAGAACTGACAGAACATTTTACTTCAGTTAGGTTAAGGCTATTCAGTTGTGCCCATAATGTATGTAAACTTGTTGTGTCTTGTTTTTTGTTATTCTGTAGGGTTGGATATATTTTGAACATAACGAGAGAGATTGATAACTTTTTTCCTGGAACATTCCATTACCACAACATCAGGTTTGTTCATGTACATTTTGTTTTGCAAATGTACCCTGACCGTGACGTCGCATCCTAATTCAGAAGACTCAAACATTCATTCATTCATTCATTCATTCATTCATTCATTCATTCATTCATTCATTCATTCATTCATTCATTCATTCATTCATTCATTCATTCATTCATTCATTCATTCATTCATTCATTCATTCATTCATTCATTCATTCATTCATTCATTCATTCATTCATTCATTCATTCATTCATTCATTCATTCATTCATTCATTCATTCATTCGTTCGTTCACTTTAATTTAAGATTTTGTCAACCACTTTTCAAATTCTCTCAGCAACCAAGCACTTTTTTCTGTAACATCTGTGCTTAAGTTAAGTTATCGTTTCTTCTCACAGGGTTTATGATTTAGATGAAACGGAATTACTACGCCATTGGGACAACACTTATAAATTTATACAGAAAGCCAAGTAAGCATTCAAGTCGTTCAATAGCTCGTTAAAAAGGCTACCAAGCTTGTCATGTGTACTGTCAGCTTTTAGTACTGATCAATGTCATTTAACTTCACTCCGCTTTAGCAAAAGACCAGACGTTTTCTAAGTATTCTGAGTAGCTGAAGGACTTACATTGTAAGCACTTAAATGCCCTGCCCTAGCGGATGCTTTTTCGAATGCGTTCTAGTTCTTTGGCTGCAGAGAGGAGAAGTCGTTACGTCGCATTGCTATGGTAGCAAAATTTTGGATGACAACAAACCGATAAAGTCACTAAAGTCTGTTCACATCATTTCAAATTTCACCGATCTTATTCAATTTCATTTACTTTGGCAAATTTTGGCGCAATTTTCTCTGGGACCGTATCTATTGTTATCTAAGTTTAGGAAAATAAAGCGACAATTTTTGTGTTGTGTTCACCTACTCCTTAACGCGGGCTCGTGAAATTAGGAAGTTTCATGTCGTAGTGGTACAACGACAGCAAAGAAATGTACAAAATGGCGTGATCGCACGTGCAAAGTTGTTGTTTGTTAATGTAGACATATTATTTTTTGCCGTTTTCCTTGCCGTCGCTGGTTTTGTTGTCATCCAGAAATAGTGCTACCATGGTGACGTGACATCACACTTCTCTCTATTCCCGGATGTGTTTTTAAGCTTGCGTAAATACCTTCGGTTGCATCTAAGCGTGGTCACGTGAGGAAAAAACATGGGACCAATTTAGGTGTCTGGGAAACTGCTTACCTACCCCTCCCCTAAGTCAACACTAACACTTAGTTCTCACCTAGGGCAAAATGTTGGGTTAGGGGAGGAGTAGGTGATCCAAAACATGTTCTAATTGGGTGCAAACATGACATGTTTTGCCGCCAAACATTCGAAGTTTGGAGTTAGCGGCTGTTGTCGACTTGATTTGTTTTCGCTCAACAAAATATTCTTTGCAAGAATTTTTAGACGTTAAGAATAATTTCTGGAGGTAAGTGTGCTGTTTCTGGGCGAGAAATATGCCTGAACTTTGAGAAAAATGAAAGATGAGCAAAACGCTCTGATCAAAAACATATAAACAGCTTACCTTTGGCGTGACAGTTTGCTTTGTCATGTCTGACACCCTGTTAGAACATGTTTTTCTGTCTCGTGTCCACGGTTAGATGCAACCGACGGTATTTATGTTACGTCCATGCTGAGACGATAGACCTCCGTTTTCAAAATACTACAACTACTCATGAAAGCGTTCATGAAATCCCAGGTTTGGATCGTTAAAGTTTGGAAGCAAGGTCATAGATGCAAATATGTATTCGCTTTCAAGAGTATGAACGCATTAGCGTTGGCGGTATCTAAAGGGTGATTGCTGTTTATCCAACTAAAATCAAAGTAAATACTCCAGCCAAACACAGCTGACGCATGCAATCCATCGAACTAATCAAAAGTCAAAGACGTGTGAAACCGGCGCAAAGCGCGGGAAAACAAGGTAAAACACGTGTGAGCATCTTACTTCTGATTGGTTAAAAACATACCACAGGCTATTCTTTCGATATGTTAAAATTCAGGGTGATAGTGAGTCTTGGAGGACACAAGCAAATTCCTTCCAGGAATCGCTATCAAGGTGAATTTAATATATCGAAAGTGGCATGAACGATTCACAAAACACAGTAATGCAAAACTAGAGCAGTTGCAAACAACTGTTTGTTCTTAGCGGAGACGTTATTAAAAAGGTTTGTCCACGAACCACTGACAGACATGCTTTATGTTTGTTTTCAGAAATGCCGGCTCAAAAGTTCTCGTACATTGTAGGATGGGTATTAGCCGTTCAGCTTCAACGGTAATTTTACTCGCTAGCTGTAATGATTTCTTTTCCTCTCTGTTGTAACTTTTTTATTTGTGCTGGCATAGCTGTCTATTTCATAAATGCTGGGATCTTTTGTCATTTCGGTTGTAGCAACAGAATGGCTGATTATTTTGAGTTTCAGGCGAGCCAAAGTATGGGCAGGCTGACCTGTTTGGTCTATGACCTTATACAAAGGACTGGTACCGAGGGAAGCAGAGAGTCCTTATGTTTTATGACGTCATACATTTTGTATTGTTGTCCTTTCAGGGAAATAGTTTTATTGTTGGACGTCATGTGATCTTAAGCTAGCCAATGAGAGTGCGCACTGGTTGGGAAAAAATCCATCTTCACAAGTTGTTTTTTTTACGCCCGTAATTTGGTCCTGAGAAAGTGTTAATTCCGTTAATAATATATTGCATTTGTCAAGTACTGATGGTACGAGAACTTGTAACACTTTCCAGTCCGGCCCACAAGTAGACAAAGTCAAATGTCGACAAAAATTCCAAAGTTCGTGTTGTAACATGCTGAAAAAGAGATACCTAGTTCGTGCGAAAGTACTACCAAATGGGCAACAAGACTCCACCCTTTACTTAACATCAAAGGACGGACTACAGTACACAACCTTTGCTGACTCCTTTTTTGTCTGTATTGGCTTGTTAGGTGATTGCTTATGGTATGAAAGAGTATGGATGGTCTTTAGGTGACTCAATGAAGTACGTGAAGGCTCGAAGAAACGTTGTCCAACCAAATGCGGGGTTTTGGAAACAGTTGATTACATACGAAGGGATTTTAAACTCGAGGTATATATTGCACACGTGTATGTATAGGGTATTGCATGGCAGTGTGGGTGTATGGATTTTACCTTCCAGGGTTTTAGGTCAATAGCATTTGTAGTAGTCATGTTAACGGTATTTGTATTTCCACGGTGAAAATATCACTTTTAATTATCAGAAAAACTGGTAACTAATTCAGGGATGATTATACAACTCACCGGCTATCGCATAATTGTTATGTATGATGAAATTATATTTGAACGCGACAGGTAAAATTTGGTTGATTAAGAAAGCCTTCAATGAGGTGAGAGCAACTTAATCAGCTGCGAATAGAGAAGGCCCAAACGATCCTTTCAAGCCTTAATTTCTTTTCTCGGGCTTCTTCATTAGCATTTTTGACTTGCTCACATTTACCTCACAGGAAGTCAGGGGCAGTCAGTCATGAAAATGTATTATTTTATATTCTAAGAGTGGTATCTCGTCTTTACTTTGCAGCAAACAGCGCTACAACAAATTGTTTACAAATGAGGCGGATCCTGAGGCAGGGCCTGTCAGGAAGACAAAAGCCAACATAGCCGTCAAAAAGGACACTCAGCCTCAGTGTGAAGGCTTGGATACTGTGGATAATTTACCTAGAGAAACTGTTTCAGATCAGAAAGACGAAGAAACCTCGGAGGTGGAAATCAAAGATCCAGCAATACTTCGGGTTACTGCCGAAGAAAACTTGGAAGTCGGTCTTGTCACTGCTGAAGCTCACGAAGATGTTTTTAACTACGAGGATGACTTGCGGGAAACGAAAGTTGATGATTTACCGATAAACCCAATATTAGAACTAAGCAAAGAAACTGTCCTAGAGGATCAGTCAAATTCTTGTGTCTCGGAAACTCCTACGACAGAAAAGACTGCGCTCTATAGAGTAAGTTCAGTGCCTGTATTGCCAAGTGATGACAAAACGATGCACAAATCGAACGTTCTTAAGACTAATTTTCAAAGGTCCAGCTCATTGCGGGAGCGGGGGCCTAAGAGAATACAATACCTTCGTGATTTCATGGAGGGGAAAGCTGCTAGTGATGAAAATATTACGGAATGTGATCAAAAAGAGAAGGGCTCATTTCAAAGTCGACCTAACGACCAAGAATGTCAAAGTGGCGCGGGATCCATTTCGCTGGGTGGTCTCCCTAGTGATTTACATGGCCTGCTTGAAAGTGGGTTTGTCAAACGCAAGTCACGGAACTTTGAGGAAGGTGTGTATGATGTCCTTTCTGTAGAGCTTGACGATATTTTGAGCCTAGGGAAAGAAATGGATAGAGAGTTTGAGCTTGGTGAAAATGAAAAATCCGCAGCCACTGAGAAAGAACCAGACAAAAGCGAGGAACCCGAGCCTGGTGTTGTTAAGAAACACAAAGAGGAATATGAACTGAAACATCGGGAGAGTTTGAAACGAGGGGCTGTGCTTCAGCGAGGAGAAAGCGGTGATGGAAGTAGCCTGAAACGCGAGCGAAGTGATGGCATTTTGACTAGTGATGCTGATGGCATTTTGTCTGGTGATGGAACGGAAACTGAACGCCCGTGTTCTGTTAACGTAGACGCTCTTGTACAAAAGGTCAATGAAGACATGAAGAAGGAAGTGTCTGCTCGAAGAGTGTCCAAGAAAGAACGGGAGTTACGAGCGCTGGTACAACTAGCTGGGGAAGATGGAAACTCGAATCAGGAAAACGAGAACTCAGTAGCAGACTCAGTTTGCAATGAAACCACAGAAATGCTTGCTGCTGCTGGCCTTTTTAAGGAAACAAATGAGGGAAGAGCACAACTGTTGGAAGATCCTCCTATCTCCATGGAAGCTGTCGGTTGCGCAGAAACGGAATCAACGAAAAGTGACTTGACAAGTGATATTTCACCGGGCGCAAATGTAGAACAAGCTGTGAGCGCTGATGGTGATTCCAGTCGGAATGTGTCCGCGGAAAATACTTGCAAACCGGCAGAGAACGGGGAGGACAATGTAATCGAACAAGACAAAGAGGATATTCCTCAGAAAGGTTTGGTAAAGCGTCACACGTTACTTATTGAAGGAAAGCTACAGCCTTGGGATCAAGAGACGGAGAAAGATGTCCAAAGTGAGACTGAAAAAGCGGAGCGCGAACACACAATGCAGCAGGAAGTGATATTACGATCGCCGTCGAAAGAACAGACATTTTCGTCGGAAGGAATAGAACAAGGTGTTGCGGGTGATGTGAGCACTACATTGGTTACGGAATCGAAGGAAACTGAAGATAGAGCGCTTGAAGAAGATACGCAAAGTCTTCCTGAGAAAGGACTAGTAAAGCGTCACACGCTGTTGATTGAAGGAAGGCATCAGGCTTTAGAGCAAGCTCTAGCTGAGGTTGAAATTGAATGTAAACAGGAGGGCGAATCTAAAGACTGCAAAGACCACTGTACGAAGTCATCAGAAGAGCAATCGAGAGGTGTTGCCTTAAAAAGTATGGAACCAGTTGAAGGAGACGATGTAAAGATTGCTGGAGACATAATAGAACAGGGAAAAACTGCCCCAGAAAACGTGGATACGTACGAATTGCTAGACGACAAGGAGGATATGATGAGTGTAGATGACGCTCCTCAGAGAGGACTCGTTAAGCGGCAAACGTTAGTGATCGAAGGAAAGCTACATTTGGGTCCGGAGCGAGATGAATTTGCAGTTGACCAAGAATCATTTCCATCACCTTCGACAGTTGAATTAAGAAGCGATGAGCCCACAGGAAACCAAGATTTCTGTTCCTCTACCTGTCAAGATCAAGAACAAAGATATCAACCTGAACTAACAAGCTCTGTTCCAGGGGAAGTAGTTGTTGAGAAAACTGAGGATAGTGAACCAGTGTCTGGCTTGGTGAGACGTGAAAAAGAGCGCATCGAGAAAAGAGTTAAACCTTTAACGGTTGAAGAGACGAATGCTAAACGTGAAGAAGACAACGAGGAAGTTTGCAACGATGGAACATTGCTTGAGGTTAGTGAGGGAGGCGAAGAAGGTCGTGGAGATGCTGAAAAGAATGAAGACGTGGAAGACGTGGAAGACGATCGAGTTGAAGAGAAAGAACTAAGTGACGTCGGCGTCGACACGTCAAGCGTGGTGCGTGTTAGAGACCAGACGCAACACTTGGAAGGTATTATTAGGGTTACAACCACGTCGAAGGACGGAGAGAAAGTTAAACGCCAACGGTCAAAAGAAGACTTTCCTACGACGGGGAACGAGTCTCCTAAAATTATCATTGTTCCACGTTCGTGTTCAGACGAAAGTGTCCATGAAGAAAACCAGCTGAACATGTCGTGCAACATGAAAATGGAAGAGATTCTGAGTGACAGTGCAGTAAACCTAGCTCTTATGAATGCCCAGGAAAAGTTAGAGTTGGCAAACGAAAGATTCATTGACTGGGATGGTGCAAACGTGAAGCAGAGGACGAGAATTTTTGAAACAATCATGCATATTAGTAAGCAAAGCAAAGAAGACGAGGAAGACAATGGAAATCAAATTCGGCGATGCGGGTCAATGCCGAAGGCAATCGGTAAAGCCGAAAAATACGTTATACGTCGTCGGTCGTTTTCGGATTTATCCGAGACTGTTTCTTCCTCTTCCGGTCGAGAAGTCGGTTACACAATCAAATTCAGCAATGGGCAATCGTCGAGTTCTTCATCTCTGCCACGAGAATGGAGTCCGCTTCAGAGAAGGCTAGAAAAAGAGAGGCTTAACACAAACGAGGTTTTTTCACCTCAAAATTGCGGTGAAAGTGAATCAGAAGAAAAGATGTATACAGAACTTATCGATTGCCAAGATCAAAAAAATGATTCTCCGAGTGTAAAGGAGAAAGTTCAAGTTCTGGATTCCAAGAATCACCGTAATATTAGTAATGTTAGTTAGCGTTGAACAAGGAAAATTCTTTAGAAATAGTTTAAATTTAAGCATGTTTTTGAAACATGAATTTTAATTTTGATATGAAATTGGAACTGACCTCACAGATATTCGATTTTCATAGAATCACCCTCTGTACATAGTCATTCTTTTAAAATTTTAATACAGTTATACCAGTTAATACCAAATAACCTCGGACACAAATTGCCTCGTTTTCCATACATTTGAGCTAACTAGAAGCTAGCCTGTGCCGGGCTTTCAGTTAGCAGGGACGTCGCAAAAATTAGACGCGCGTCAACTGAGAAGGGAGCCTGCAATAGTTGTCAAGATCTCTGCACATTGCTATCTTGGAGCCTGGAACAGCTAACATGAGCGGGTAAAATGTAGACCTGATGGGATCTAAACTATTTTGTATAAAGCGTTCGCTCTCTTTGCTGTCGAGCGAATACAATCTTCGAACGAGAACTGACCGATGAAGCTCTGTCTGTTGTTTGTTGCATTAAACTTGCAGTTGATAGGTTGTCAGATTTCGTTAAGTTGTAGTAATACCTTTTCTTCTGATCTAGTTAATTCAGTTTTGTTTATTGTTAAGATTATCCATCGTTCAGAATAATTTGCGTTTCGGTCGATTTGCAATAAAACCCTGTAATTATACAGACGAAACTCTGGATTCGTGGTACCGGTATGTTATCTTGAAAAGGCATTGTTTAGATAATGCCGAAACTCGTCTTAAAATAATTTTGTGTGGCGAGTATACGAAAGATTTTATTGTTTTAATCTTTGAGCAAAATCTAAATTGGTGTATTTTTACGGTGACGAATTTTGCCGACATTATTTTGGTCCGTCATTCAGAATACTATGTTTATTGATGTTGGAAAATTGAATCACATTTTGTATATATTTGAGCCGTAAATTTTCAATAAATATTTATTGTGATGAAAATCACGTTGTTTTCAAGTTTTATGCGTCAGAGTTTTTGTTTTGCTCATTAAAACTATTTCTTCTTCGATTTTCTTTCCTTAGTATTCGTCACCGTAGCTGCTCAGCGCTACCACCCAAAACAGTTCTTGCTATGCAAGCGACGAATATGTTGAAAATAAATGCGAGATTGTAGGGTACTATTCCCTCGGGTACTTTACTGACGACGGAACCGTCACGCGAAAGGAACGGCAAAGCCGTGCGGGTTTTTCGCGAGTGGCCAATCTGCCCTCGCCCTCTAATCCTGCCAGCTACGCAGGCTAACGATTTTTGGAAATTGCGCGACAAAAACAATGTCCTCAGGCTAGCAAAGGAATTGTCAATGCGAAATGTCATTTGTGATTTTTATCGGGGCACTAAGCTTGGGCCCTGTTTACATGGAGGTGGGGGACCCCAGTTAGGTGAGGTAACCCGCTTTGGTGGGATAACCCACCTGTCCACATAATCTCTCATTTTGAGCTGATCACGTGGACATGATAGGTGGGGTGACCCGCCACATATTACCTCACCTATCTGGGGTCCCCCACCTCCATGTAAACAGGCCCTTAGTGGGATGTTGACACGAACCATTTTAAAATTTAATAGACCTTTTTTGCATTCTGCTCCAGTGTGCAAGCACAAAGAAGTAAGGGCGATGCTCGGGTGGACAATTTCATACAAATTACTGTACTTTGTCCACCCAAGCCCCGCGTTCGTGCCTTTGTTTACAGGAATGCGGAGAAAGTAAAGGTCTATTGGACATGTACTTTGAACCCGGCTTCGGGGGGGGGGGGGGGGGGCCGGGGGGGGGAAAGTGGAGGGGGGCATGGAAAATTTCACAAAAAAAGGAAGAATTTTTAAAAAAAGAAGTTTTTGTGTTCGCTTTCGTTCAGGTGTTTAGCCACTTTCAAAATTTCTTGAAAAAAAAAAAAGTTATTATCTTAAATTATTTTTTGTTTTTTTCATACTGCGGAGAGAAGAAAAAAAAAAGAGGGGGGGGGGCTTTGTGGATTTAAAATTTTTTAATTTATTTTTTTCCCCCCCCCCCCCACCCCGCGTGGTTTTTGTTGTAGGAAAAGGAAAGGAAAAAAAAGAAGTTGTGTTGGGTGTTTGGGCGGGGGGGGGGGGGGGGGGGGGGGGGGGGGGGGAGCTCGGGGGAGTAACGTTGATAGGTGCATTGAAATATTACCAAAAAAAGGAAGAATTTTTACAAGAAGCATGTTTAGTGATCGCTTTCAGTCACGTGGTTAGCACCTTTCCAAATTGCTTAGAATAAAAGAAAGTTCCCACAGGATTTTTTTTGTACACAAACAAGGCCCCCGATTCATTGTTTTGTACACAAGTATGGCCGCCGTGACGTCATGGGAAAACGATCTATTAAGAGACATGAAGCAAAGAATAAAGCGAGAAAAGAAACCTCCCACCTTGACAAAGAGAATATCTTGAACAAATCTAAGTTGAGGTGCAGATAAGTTTACTTTAAGTTCGTTTACGTGAAAAATTCATAATTATTGGAATTTTTGCCTTTTAGCTACAGAGCTTATATTCTGAGACAGCTACATTCGGAGGTTTTTTCCCTTCGGAATATTTAGCCCAAAAAGCTAGAACAGGTTGTAGTCTCTTGGGTTTTTTTCTGGGAGTGGAAGAAAGCGCAAGAACAGCACCCTTGCCGCGGCGCGTGCTTCCTACTACTTGCCTCCGCTCGCTAACCAAAAAAAAAGCGAAAAAAAGCCTCTGACCAAAAGTCACACTGAAAACTTGAACTTATTACAACGCAGAGCATTAGAACGGAATCCATCAGAGGAAATTGCGTAATTTTAATTTTTAGTGGACAAAAACCTTGTACCAGAATATTTAAACCATAACGCATTCTGTTTTACATTTTTCAAGGGCTATACTGGGATATAATTAGTTATCTGTAATAACACCGAAGACCATATCTCCTGAGAGCCCGTTAAAATAAATGTCAAATTTTACAAGAACTGTGAAAAAACAGGCAAAATTCTGAAAATTTCATTTGTAAGATGTCATTTTGTGAAATTGGACATGTATTTTTCGGACTCTCATGAGAAATTTTCTTTGGTGTTATTACAGTTAACCAATTACATCTATAGCTCTTCAAAACTATAAAAAAAATGCGATATTGTTTAAATTATTCTGGGACAAGGTTTTTGTCCACTGAAAATTAAATTACTCAATTTCCTGATGGATTTCGTCTTAAAACACACTTTGACGTTCAAATTAACGTCCATCGAGTTACTGTATAACTTATGGGATTAGAAATCCACTCAAGAAATCTGGGTTAAACGTTTCACTTCACTCGTTTTTGAGCGTTGTCCCTTGAAATTAATAAAAATACCTCATCTAGTACTTTATCTCTGCTAAATGAAAAAATCTACAACCCAGTAACACATAGTGTCTATGCTATTACACACGTCTGAAATACCTGTCATCTCGGTTAAAAAACAGCGCTAGATGTAAAGCAATTGTAGTCATCTGGTAAATTATCCAGTGGCCGAGGGAACACGCGAACGTGAAGGCCTAGCAGATCCCAGTAAGAGGGAACAAATTGAAAAGTCACGCTAACCTTATCGCCAGGATAAAACTGATTTCCATCTATAATATTATGGGTGGTCTCGATCTTGTAAGAACGTCGGTAATGACCGAGGAAACTAGAATTAAAGGAGACTTAAGACAACTCGGAATTTCCCCATTATTGATATTAATTTTAAATTTAATAGTTTAAATTATGACATTTAAACTGCATAACTTTCTGTTTGGTGAATAGTGTGAATTTTCTTGACTAGTATAATGAATTTTCCTAGATATAGATATATTTTTTAAGTGAATGCACACTATATTTATTCAAATATTAGTACTATAATGATAGTCACGGAGAAGCGAACTCAGCCGGGCCGGGTTACCTATTTCAACACACAGGTCGCATTCAAAACAAACGAGTCTGACTATGGTAAGCAAGCAAATTTGAAAGTGTCGGTGGCCCAGGTTGAGTTGGTTGCACAGTAATAATTCATCCATGTAGCTCCACAGGACTTCTTCGTTTCTAACTTTCAATTCACGCTTTATTACCAGGGGCTGGTATCGGTATCAATTGCCACACAGTTTGAGATCGCATAGCTAAAAAAATAAAATACATGATGCTTCAGTATATTGTATTTTAACACAGATTTTTCCTTACAGCCTGCTTGGTGGGTTGCACCCGCACCAAATAAATCCCGACCCCAAGAAAAACATGTTACCTGACATAACAACAACACGATCTCTACTTCTCATAATTTCACCTAAATGTAGCCTGTTCCTCCCCTCCCCTCCCCGAAACCAAGTTTAGAAGGAGAGAAAAATTCGACGTGGTGCGTTTACGTCCTCCATAACACGTCCCGTGAGGGAATTTCACGTTGAAGTCCTGCAGTGACGGGAAAAAAGTGTGCTGAACGTACAGAGTTTTTGTTTTGCTTAGAAGCCGTCGTTGCTAAAGCTCCCTATCTTTTCAAGTCCCTCAATTATCATAAACTGAAGATTTGAAAGCAGATTTCTGCCTGCTGCTAACCTGAGCTTCTCCTTGGCGATGGCTGCAGACGAGTAGTCAGGAAGGAAGAGGGTACTGGCGCAGGTAGAGGCATGGGGAAGGCTGTCCTTGTCTCCTCCAGCTTTGGCCACAGTGAAGGGGGCAGGCGGCCTCTTACGTCCGGTAACAAAACGCAGGAATCGGCTGCGCTCCTCAGAGCTGAACTGACTCAAAACTGTCCACATATGTTTGACTGTCTTCGACGATTCCCTTAAATCATCGCCGTATTTACCTGACAACAAATACATCGTTCAAACGTCTCTCTAAAAAGGAGAGCTCCAACACGGCGAACGCCCTTCCTAAGATATCAGTGTGACTACAAGTACAAGATTCCGCCAGTTTATCGCTCTTGTGTGTAAATTAGGGCTATTGTTTGATAAAACTCAGTGGGATTGATAAATATAAATAAGAGAGCTGAAACGAAATGAATTCTGATAGTTGTAGTTAACCTCCGTCATCGTGAATATGGCCTATTCTAGACACTGTATGATTGATTCTCGCAATTCCCGATATACTTTCTAATTAAAGAGCAATAGAATGGCTTGACTGGAAGGTGGCTTGACTCGATTTTTTCTGGGTAACACCTCCCAAGTTTGAGCATTTCCCACGCCACCATTAACAACGCTGTCGAAAAATAGTCAGTCCACGGCTGTATTAGATAGAGATAAAACTTTGTTATGACAAATGCTATATTGACATCGGGGCTGCCAAGGCAATAGAATTAGGTCATATCTTACTATGTATTTGCTATTGTATTTTTCGGAACCTGGAGGTTTTAATGAATAATAATGGAGCAGATTCGGCCGTTAGCGGCAGTATGACCGCACAAAGCTCAACATACTTACAGGCAGGTTTGAGATGCGCAAGAGTGACGTCTCTATCTCCACAAACACCTCGTTCGAGATTACACCAAGTCAGAAGAGTAAGCACTGACTCAGGTACAACAGTCATCAAGCCCTGCCTCATGGCCTGTACCTGTCAACAGAGTAATTCCTCATTAGGCCTGGATAAGTTCTGCCGGCAGAATTTTACGCAAAATGGACGATTTCAAAGGCGAAAATTCTACCAGCAGAACTGATCAGGCATTTTTGAGCAGAATAATGGAAAATGCGCCTAAAAGTTGCAAGAAACATTGAAAATTAAATACAAATCAAGATAAAAGATACTACGAAATAATTTAACCTGTTCCACTAAAAGGAGCGATATTGCACAAAGTAAGATGAAATACAATTCTGCTATGCAGAATGAGTGCTAGACCTATGCTCTCTCCCATATTTGCAAAAATCACAAGGCTCGAAGGGCCTTTAAGTACTAAACCGAGCAGAATTTAGGTGTCTGAGCAGAACTGCAAGGAGAATAAGTGATTTTTAGGAGCATTGCCGATAGGTAGAACAGGCCACTTAACGCGTAGATTTTATCAAACGTCTTCTTCACCAAACAGAACATTGTAGCCACATTTCGTCTTTAGTAAACATTCTGGCCTGCCAGAAAGCATTGTGTGGTAGAGGGTTGAGAGAAAGGAAGAGAGACTATAATGTGAAACAGAGAAAGAGGTTCCAGCTATTGCCAATAGTTGTCTTCTTTCAAGCAAGACAAAATGTGTTTTGTTTGAACACAAACGTTCAACATGATAGCATTTTATCCATGGAACGAAAAAACCTTGATGTAATTAGAAATCTCAAAATGATTCCGAAAGTAGTAATATTCAAGCATCACACAATTATTGTGAAGATTAAAATACCACCTTATAATCACACTCGTCAGACGACAAGCAGTGTTGTCGTCACTGTTACCTGCTTAGTAAACTCTGTCATCCGGGCTCTTCTGACAAGAGATGCATACTCTTTCCTTTCATCAGGCATCACTACTCTGCCCTCCCCTGCTGGGAGTAGCTCAACACGACGGCCATCACTTAACACGGTGGAAAAGGTACACTCGTCACCATAATTACTTTTGTACAAATCTTCATCTAGGGCTTCTAGTTCATCTGCATTGCAAAATATCATAAGCTATAAGACAACAGCTCACTAACAATTACAAGAAGCACATTAATTCTACAATTAACATTTGTTGCTCCTCTCAGACCCCATGATTGTACGCTAGAGAAACGCTTCTTTCAAATTTTTATTTCATTCAGGAGTATAACCAAGCATGACAAAGCAAAACTTCTCCCGAGAAGGTAGCCTGTTCCTGGCTGCAAGATGGTAGTGCAATTCTGCAGTAAAGAGTGACGCGAAAACGCGTAGGCGCTGGGGAAGAGATAGCAATGCCACCACCTTCTGCCCCAGATCACGCGTCTTATTTTTGCTCGGCTTGTTTTATTGTTGCGACGTTGTACTATCTGAGAGCCAGGCAAAGGCTACCGAGAATGTCACTAATGCACCATCAAACAAGCCATTGCAAGTTTTCCATTTTGAGTGGGAAAAGTAGCGCCTTGCAAGTGGTGATATAAACCAAATTTCTATTGTTATTAAAGTATCAAACTCTGAACCGTAAAAATGATAAGTTTTGCTTTGATGTGTTTACTCAAGTTTAATTTTACAAAGTCCTTCGACCAATATCAGTTGGTATTTAACATTTTAAAACTATTAATACTTCAATCATTATCAAAGTATAAACTAAGTACATAAAAAAGGAGTCACAAGAGTACAATAATTTTCCTCTGCAAATTAGTTGAACAAATAATTTGCTCTCAACAATTTTAAATAAAAAGTTGTCTTTCTAACCAGTTATACGGACAGCAGCTTCATCAATGGCAGCATAATCCTTGGCCCAGGTGACATGTTCTCCAACAAGAAGTTTCCAAACAAAGGGAGGAAAGGCAAGAGTAAGGCTTTCATCACTACGAAACGCTCCACCCATCAGTACTCCAAGCCAATGAAACATGTAAAGTTCATCACAACCAGGGTTAGGGATAAAACAATCCAGAAAATCACCAACTTTCCCCTGAAGAAAGTGAAAGAAAAGGCACAAACAGTTTTACTGATGCATTCATTGCAACAACAACATTAGCTTTAACGTGGCTAAAATAAAAAATTAATGTAATTTAGGTGAGCAGAGAATGCTGGCCAGTGGTCTCCCTCACTAATCAAATATATGGTGGTCTTTGGGAATTTGCAGAGCCTTAGTAATTTTTAGATTGCTGCTGTCGAGGTAAATCATTTTCCTCACATTGCCTTTAGCAAGTAATATTTTAGGCTGTTTAGCTCCCACTCATCCATTCCATCTGAACGTGTATCTACAAAATTCTCCACTGAAGCTCTCAATGTGACGGTGTCTGGTGGTTGCCACTCACAGGATTGTGATGGTTACCTTGCGTGTTCGCTTTTGACTCACTCAGTTTGTCCAGGCACCATCCCACAACCATCCATCGGCCATGGGTTTGGCAGAAGTACAAAAACGAATACAAAAACGAACAAAACCTGTGGATTACTGTAATATGTGGTGCTTGATTGATAATTACCTTCTGATTTGGAGTCCTGATGAGATATGGCAGAATTTCTGGTACATTCTCATCCAATGGGCAGAGTTCATCCGCTAACTCGGCCAGAGAGTCTCGGAATCCTCCTCCCTGATCAATAATACCCTCGCCAACAAATTTCACTTCCCACCACTGATCATACTTGCACTTGTTCCAGCTGCAAAGGAATGGACAGTGGGCACACAGGAATAAGGAAAAGATCTGTCTCAAGCGCTGAAGGCAATAGAGAGCTGTAGACTCTGAGACGAAGACGACTACGAATACGAGATTTCCTCAATACTGAGTATTGTTCACGCGTGAACCAGCGTCATTTTGGCAGGAAAATGTGATAGCCGTCGTCATTCTACTACGAGTTTTAGCAAGAATGTCGTACTGGCGGAAAAAAGTAATCAATCTTCTTAACTAACCTCCTTCAGTATAAATAACCGTTTTTTGGTGAAAAAAAGTAAATTGAAGCAGGGTGTCCTTTTTTTAGAACGCACACAGAAACTTCAAGTTAAATCTTGACTCGCACTCGTTCTCGTCCTCAAATCTAAAGCCCTCTATAAGCAGTGGGCTGCTTCAGGAATAATTCTGCTACTTTGTTTATAAGCACTGTCTAAACCAGCATGCAAAGAAAGTCATGCACCTTAGCCTGTGGTTTCTTGGTTCAGCTGCTACATGATGGGCAAGTGCAGTTTTTTAAGGGTATTTAAATTATAGAAGAACTGTAATCAATCCTGCTGGTCAAGAATTTTTTCACGCTAGTTAAAATGACTCTTACCCGTTAGTAAATGCTAGCTACAGCTTGACCAAAAGGCCAGTCCTTATATAAACAGACGTTCTTTAAACTCTAGTCTAAACTCCCTATCAGGCGAAGAACCCTTTAAGGAAGATATAATTGGTTTTCTCATTGCAGCCTCACTATATTTCTCTGTCATTAATAACATGACTATATACGTTCTCTCTCAAAGAGTGGACAAGGAGAAAAGGTTATATGGGTGTCCAGCTTACAGGCAGGGAATATTGTATGTAACCCATTTTCTCCTGATAATAACCAAAGGGAAAACAAAAATTACAAAAAATTTGAAATATCTTCCTGGAAAGTCCTAAGAAAAATACTATGCAAAAGTTCTGACAAAAAGGTGGTTTTTTTTTTAACTTGAAGAACACCTTACGATTTTTTCCAGATTTAAAATTTGGAGTGACAATCTCGCCATAAAGTAGTCTAGAAGTAAAATGCCTCATGTAAAAGGACAAAAAGAGTTCATGTTATAGTAACAACTAACCGAAAGTGAAGTTTCTCTCCCTTCAGTTCACGGTGAACCTGAAGAAACACACTGCTACGCAATTCAGCACGGCGTTCCACCAATGGCACTCGTCGATCCACTGTTATTACAGGCATGTAATCAGGGGCAGACAGCTCAGTGGTGTGTAACAACTCATGAACTAAGCGCCATCGCTGACTGCACAGTGGCAAAAGAAATCGGATCTTTGGCAAAAGTGATGAGAGGCTGTAGCGTGTAGAGCTGTTATCATTTAGTGGGGTACTGGCAGAGTGTATTGTCCATTTGTGAGCTGCTTCAACTTGCTGTGGCATTGCTTTTCTTTCCTGAGCAGAGGAGCTTTGTTGGAGAGGTTCTGTTGTCTCTTGTTTTGTTACCTCTGTCAAGCATTCCACTTTCTAGAAGACAACATTTTTGCAGTTATAAATCAATTTTTGTTTGGCTAGCTAAAACAAGGCTTGGTTAACAAAGATTGAGAATCACGTGCATGTGAGAATGACTCACAAACATTTTCAGCCATTAGAGGTCAAAAAATTCATTTTAAAATGACTAATTGCATGTAACTGGCACTGACAATTTTCAATAGAGATAAAGAACATTAAGTTTACTAAGAAATAGTTTCAGCTACATACTCAAATATGCCCCTTAATAGTATGGCAACAACTCTGATTCACTTTTAAGTGGTAAATGAAGCAATCCACCAATTTTAACCCCTAAAAAGTACAATGGACGCCCTGTATTTCTTATAGGGAAATATCTCCAAGGGTATTCACAGGAAGCAGATGACTTTGTGTCAGTAGAAATTTGGACCAGAGCCATTATCCCAGACTGCCACAGAACAGCAGAATACTCTTCCTCAAGAACAAGCTCAATTTTTTCACGCCAATTTTTTTTTACTTTCTATTTCCACAGGGTTGAGTTAGTTTTCAAAATTAATACACTGATCATATAGGCATTTGGATGGCTGCATTATTATTAACAGTGTTTTATGATTTATATAATTCTTAATGTTGTACAGTGCTTAATTCATACTTCCAATATTTCTGTAAATTATGTACATATTTTTAAAGTTGAATAAAATTATTATTATAATCATAACTATAACAAAATTGTCAAATCTGATTGGCTATCAACTACCCTGATTTCAGCCTTAATTGGACAGTTTAATAGGACAGTACGAGTCATGCCTAAGTAATTGGACAGTATGGGCCATCATGTGCGCGCTTAAATGGCTTTTTTTTTCACCGCTAGCACAACAAAATTTCGAATTTTGTGTTTTGATTTAAAAAATAACCTATTATCTCACAAATTTTGTTAAAGTTATGATTAATTGGAAACAGAACTTCATGTCGTCCAATTCGGTCTGTAATCATACTTGTGATTACAGACCGAACTGGACTCCACTCAGTCCTGTTACCATTACTTATTATTATTATTATTATTATCATTATCATTATCATTATCATTATTATTTTCAGCATGATCATCATCACAATCAACTTCAGCTTTTTCTCATCTTTGTTATCATTATTCATCAAGGGAATAAACTACTTATACAAATGTACAATATTTGTCTCACAATGCCATAAAAGGGAAGTTTCGAACAGATAATTTTAACTAAACTATGACCCACCTAAGAGCAGGACCACATTATTTTCATTTAAGATGCACACATGTACCTTTGTAAGAAGTTTCTCATCTTCTTTCAGTTTCTTTAATAAAGCAAGCAGGTGGAGTTTGTAATGTTCTTGCTTCTGTTGCTTCAGTAACAGTTCATTTCGCTGAACCTTAACATCACCAACATCCATGCCTACCAGTAAATCAGCAGGAACTAACTCCTGCTCTCGAATGCTGCTGTGAAGCAGCTGTTTTTGTTCTTCTATAAAACAAATCTACAAAGAAGACACATATGTTAAGTGGTAAGAGGTATCTTAATCAATTTTACAATCAAGGACATTCAACTTGGATCACACCACTCTGGTACCTGCCTTTCTCTCTTCCAATGTTGTTTTGTAATGCTTTTTTGGTGAAATTGTCCAAATTCCAGGCCAACATTGAAAGGGAGAGGAAAAAAGGACGTCGAGCACAACATTTCAATGTTACTCCCTCAACTGATCCAAGTTTTAATACCATGAATTGCAGTTTAAGGGACTCTGGCCATTTTGTTTACATTGTAGATTTTCAAAAAAAATTATTTGCTTATGCAGTTGAACCTCTCATATTAGAGGCATCATCCCCAAAATGCGAAGATGTTGTGGTCACTTATGAGAATCGACCCACAGAGGGTCCCTTGGGAGGTTCACATACATCTACTTTTAGCAGGAAAAAAAATTATTGCATTTCATTTCTAAGTTACTATAGGTGTAGCTCCATGTTGTTGTAGACTTTGAGAGTAGAATTCTGTATAATACAGCAACAACATAGGGATTAGACCATACCTCAATTTGTTGCTTACAAGGGGTTAAAACATAGTAGGAAAATTATAAAACCAACAACCCAAAGAGTGGTTGCCATTGCTCACAAGAGGTGGTCATTTATGAAGGGTTCCAGCCATAAGACTTTGACTGGAAAAATTTTGTGTTTTAGAGATGTGGTCACACATGGGGATTCAAGTGTATTGAATTACGATCAAGCACATCCATATTGTGTATGTCGTCCTTTTCCCTAAACAGCAATTCTGCCTAGCATCAACCTGTATACCTTTCTTTTGACGGCCTTGAGTTGTTCCTGGACCTTTTCAAGAGATGCCAGTGAATGTTTCGCTTTCTTCAAATTGCCTTCATGCAGGAAGTTGTTTCCTTCTTTATCCAACTTAGTCTCAACCTTTTCATTGGCTTCACTTACTGACTTTTCCTCTGTTCTATAATTGATAGGAGGTGAACTGCTTTTTGATTCCAGGTACAGCCACGAAGACAGAAATGAAGATTCTGTGAATGAATCTAGTTGGTATCGATTTGGGCAAAAACTCTGCTCTGTCAACAATGAGGGTCCAGTCACAAGATACAATACAGAATCAAGAATTTGGGCAATTCTGCAGAGCGCAATGGTTCGATAAGCCAAGCTCTCAGGTGAATAGTTGGAAAGCCTGGGATGGTTTGCAACACTTGCCTTAGAAAGCAGTTCAGCTAGTGCATATTCTTCACTGAACCAGCCCTGTAAAAACAAAGAAAAGCAGTTACCTTGAAGAGAAAAAAATTAGAAGAGTGCATCTAAGACATGCTAGAAACCCAGTGCCCAGGGCTGTGCTCTAGCAGAGCCCGGTGGCCCCTGGTGCCTAACTTTTTCCCTCAGGTGACTAGCAAATCTCAGATTTTTCATGCAAATCATATGCCGGGCACCCTAGATTTTGCAGTTTCAGAGCACTGGGCTCCCTTCAATTTTCCTTACAGCACAGCCTTGAGTGCCCCTTATAAAAAATGGGAAAAAAAGAGGTCTGAATATGATTTATCTATGGTCACACATGTACCTCCTTGCCTAATTAAAAAGTGGTATGACTGAAACAAACAGAAGTTGTTTCTACTCCATGCTCAGTAAGGGGCTTTCCAAGTTTTATGAAACATCTCACAAGAGTCAAACATTGCACATGCATTCAATCATCTCCTTAGAGCTGCTTCTATTAGTTCTCTTGTCCCCAATGCGATTTTAGCTCATTTACAGGGTGTTTACATGATACCATGTGACTTTTGTAATGGCACAAATTCAACCTGGCTCCTTCTTCTATATATGTCTTGGTTATTTAACACAAGAGTGCCAGAGCAAGAATTTCGTTCTGGCACAAAATCTTGCAACAGTTACTATCATGTGAAAAACGAAAAATGACCAAAACTCTATCACTTTAAATGTCAGCTTCTTGTTGTTGTTGTTCTGTTTTTTTTTTTTTTTTTCGGTTGGTCACACTAGTCAAAATAATTTACAGCTGTAAACCACTTAGAAAACTTCCTACCTTGTACAGTTACTATCATGTGAAAAACGAAAAATGACTAAAACTCTATCACTTTAAATGTCAGCTTCTTGTTGTTGTTGTTCTGTTTTTTTTTTTTTTTTTTCGGTTGGTCACACTAGTCAAAATAATTTACAGCTGTAAACCACTTAGAAAACTTCCTACCTTGGTTCTCCCTTGACTGGACTTCTCACAAATGTCACACAAAAGGTGTACAAGAACAAGATCGTCATTTAAACACCACCTGCTTGATGGCGAAGTAGCCAATCTCTCCATAAGTTCTCTTTCCATCTCAATAAGCACTTCAGTATATTTTGAACCATTTGATCCTGATGAACTTCTAGTTTTGCATGTCTCAATGGAGCTCACTTCATCAGCAACATTCTTGTCACCAGACAATTTCTGAGAACACATTTCTGGCGAGTGACTATTACTTGATGTGTTTGGCTGATTAAATTTATCAGCTTGATCAGAATGACTTACAAATCCTTCAGTTGAATTACTACAAAAAGTACTGCCCGTAACATCTTCAGGAGTGCTGTTAGTGCTATGATCTACAGTTGCACTGCAGTCTTTTGTACTACTGCAGCTACTAGCAGATCCAGTCACTGCATTTAACGCTTCCTCTACTGGTAACTCACTCTTGTCTCCCAGTGACTCCTGACATTCTTGCACCGAAACAACACTCTGTGTTGTTGTACTGAGTATAACAAGCTTACGTGCAATCTCAGCATATGACAAAACTTTTTTACTTTCTCTTCTCTCACTTTTATGCCTCACTTTTCTCCTTAAGTAAACATCCAATGTCTGGCACCTTTTTTGATAGGACACATTGCAAAGACTGTAGTAATACTCTAACACAGTCTGCCATAACTTGTCCTTCTGCAAATGGTTCCAGATGCTTTGAGGACCTGTTGTATCTGCTTCAGAAGCACCACCACTTGAACCAAAGAAAGAGATCTTCTGATCCACAGGAGAAGTTACCACCACACTGGAATGTTTCCTGGCCTTTGTTTTCTTACTAAAGTATTGCTGGACTTGTTGTTGTGATGGTACATAACAAAATGCCACTGGTAGAGACTGAGACATAAGTAAGCACTCTATAAAAAAAAAGAAAATTGCTTTGATGTTATTAAAGTTAGGGTTGCTAATTAATGTGAAGACAAAATGTTAACCATCATCATCAACACAAGTGCAGGTTTCATTGAAAATCGTGGCAGCCAAAGGGCTGATGTGGTCTTGTGGTTTAACCTGTTAACAATGCATATATTTTATTTACTTTCTGTTGTGCCTTAAAACAGACTATAATTAAAATATTAAACTGTATTAACTGTCTGGTTAGAATGGCTAAAAAGCACATTTAATTCAAGACTCAGTGGGACCCATGATGTCTCAGGACTTAAAATTTGTTACATAAATCACTAAAAGCAAACATGTAGTTGAACCCGTCCTTCTGCAAACCTCAGTAATACAGAAATCCCATAATAACAGTGTAAGCACAATGTATATAACAACCTATGTATACCTTAAATGCAGTAGAAGTCCAAAATGAACTTCTGAGGTTAAAATGAATTCAACCCTGCTTAATTCTCTTTTATCATCCTCTTTTCCTTTGATTTCCTAACTGCTAATTGCTCAAATGATTAGCATTAGGGAAGGAGTCACAAAGGAAATTGTTGACATTATGGTATTCATAATAGTAAATGATAATAGAGCGGTTTTCACTTGACTGTCGAAAGTAATTGAGGAATTGGTTTGGTTTTGGTTTTACTACGCCCTTTGGTTGGCTAGTGTATTTACTTTGGTTTTGGTTTTACGACAGTCAAGTGAAAACCGNCTTCTGAGGTTAAAATGAATTCAACCCTGCTTAATTCTCTTTTATCATCCTCTTTTCCTTTGATTTCCTAACTGCTAATTGCTCAAATGATTAGCATTAGGGAAGGAGTCACAAAGGAAATTGTTGACATTATGGTATTCATAATAGTAAATGATAATAGAGCGGTTTTCACTTGACTGTCGAAAGTAATTGAGGAATTGGTTTGGTTTTGGTTTTACTACGCCCTTTGGTTGGCTAGTGTATTTACTTTGGTTTTGGTTTTACGACAGTCAAGTGAAAACCGCTCTAATGACTATACTAATTACAGTGTATAATTTGTGGGCAACCGGAGGAGCCCACAATCCTAATGTCCAGGTTGCTATTACAGTGACAAGGGCAGCACGTATGTAGCCAGGATTCATTTGGACTTTTGATAAGAATGAAACGAATGCATAGAATGCATAGAATGCATAGAATGCAATCTGACGGTACGCTTGGACAGCCACTGTTGGAGCCAAAACCTTTGCATTGATCTCCCCTGCACTTCCTAACCTTTGGTTTTTACTAGTTTTTATAATTATTTGGGTCTAACAGATAAAGGAAATCTCAAAGAAAGCTAAGTGCAAAACCATTAAATTCATTAACCTGAATTTCAGTTTGAACTACAATGCAGACACGGCACCTCTGTAACATTCTTACACCTCTTTCATACTGCAAGTGTCTGACTACAGAGGTTAATTGAATTTTGGCATGAGAAAAAAAATCACGCAAGGCAACTCAATAATAATTGAGAAATTTCTTTAACACAGGTAATTGTTGGTTGTAGATCACTCCCCCCCCACCCCACCTGCAGAAACTTAGATATCTAAGGCTACATACCAGTTGCTTCTTGGAGAGCTCTCAATTTAGCAAGTAGTGTTCTGGCCTTTCCACGACTTACCAGTACATTGGATGGAGGGTAAATACGAGTGTTCTGACAAAATAAATAAAAATACAAAAGTCACTGTCGAGTTCTTCAAGTAAGTCCACTATCAATTTGGGCTTCACAAAATGAAGCCCAAAATAAAGCGTGCTTTGTCCAGCATTCTGCTAAATATATAAATTAAATTATCTCGCGACTGTGCAGCATTTTTGTGTAAACACACAAAAGCAATTGCAATTTACTTCACTAACAGTTGTTAGCATTTCAACAAACCTTTTCTCTTCTTTTTGGATTTTCCTTCGGAAAAAAGAGTTTGGGAAGACTTGAGTCAGAATCTGGCATTGCTACAAGTGGTGCGAAATTCACATCACTGATACAAGTCTGTTTCACCCCAGTTTCTGAGACTCGTTCAATCTTGAGCAGCTGCAGAAATAAAACACAAAAACAATTTGATGTACTGGTCTATAACAATGGACAGGCCTTCAGGATTTCAATCATCAACAGACTGTCAAAATCCATATTATAATTATTGTAAAATTAAACTAAAGTAACGTTCTCAAAAACAAATCAAAACTGTACCGACCATACCTTGTTTCTACAAGGAATAATGGCAAAGCCACCAATCTTGGTCAATGCAAGAATGAACCGAACTTTATTGGGAGGACAAGCTGCTCCACAATGTACCCTGTCATAGTTACAACCTGAAGGATCCACTCTGAAGCAGTTTCCAGCCACAAACTTGGGCATACAGATATCATGGGCAATAGCAGGACAGAACTGTAGGTATTCCTCAACTCTTTCCGTAGCAAACCGCACCAGATCTTCATGAAGTTCTACGCCATGATTTATACCGTGGTTTTGAAGAATGTAACCAGCTAAACAGGAAAAATAGCCTGTGCCACTGCCAATGTTGAGGAATGACAAACCTAATAAAGGTGAATAAAGGTTGAAAAACAAATGCAGGGTATCTGTGTTCTAGCAGTGTCCCTTGGCAATGTACTTTAGTTTTAAGGTGACAAGGATATCTTACGTTTTGCATCAAACATAAATGCTGGGCAATCTGGTTTTATGGATTTAGAGGTTTTGGGATCCCTATCCAATGTACAGCTTGCAGTGTATAATTATTATTTTCTTAGAGCACAGCCTTGCTTACACCAAATTTGTTTCATTCATTGTAGGTGAATGGAATTTTCAGTGGATTTTTTTGCACAGAATAATGGAACTGCCCTTACAAGCAGGTTTACAAGGGTTAGGGTGATACCTCGGATGACAAGGCGATACCTCGCATGGCATTGCCTTTTTCTTGAAAATCATTCCACCTGCATGTCACGTTCCATTAAGTTTGCATTCTTCCCAGAATTACTGAGCCATACAAATGGTAAGCACTCCTTGTTTCCCAATAGGACGCTAAAGCCTGATTTCCATATGATCCTCCGGATCATCCTGATCGCCCCAGTTGTTTCAAAGAAAAGAGTTGGGAGTCGTCAGCGATGTCTCTGGGTCAGACAACAGAATTTTTGCGCATGTTTTGCAAACAAGCCAAACATAATGATGGATTTTAATCGCACAGCCACCCTAGCACCTTGCTATTTACATTTTCTCTCGATTTTGCAGCTTTGAGAAGCTAGAAGAGTTCCACAAAGACATAGTATCACATCAAGAACTTGATGTCAGCGAGTTTCTCTAATTTCAAATAGCACCCATATGCAGTGCGAACAGTTTTGCTTTATTTTTCCAACTTCAGCGGTATTCTCCATTACTGGAATAAAAGTGATGATTTCCGGGATAGCCTTCGATCATCCAAATCATCCCGATCATCTCAGTCACCTGAGAGCATTTCCACATGATCGCTTCAAAATTTACACGATCGTGCGGATAGAACTCAACTCTATCCAAGCAATCGAGGTTGTCTCAGTCATCTGGGTCATTTGCGATTGTCCCAATTGTCTGAACATTATTTGAGCAAATGGGATGATCGGGGTGATCATATGGAAACCAGACTTAAAAATTCATGCAGCTACCAGTTTACTCATGACTGACCCACTTGTGATGAATGTACACTACTTACAGAATGTAATAATGGTGAAAGTCTAATATTGAGATTTAAGATATTACATAATTTCTTATGTTGCAACAAGCATAAGCCTCCATTGGATTCAGACTCATAATATCCCAGAATATTGCTTGTGCATTCTGATCTCTGAACTAATGGTGACCTAGGTCACTATTAAATACATAACATTTTCATTATACTGTATTATTAAATTGTTATCAGAAATTGTCTTGGTAAATGGTTGGAACCCAGAAGTCATGTCATAAGTAGGTAGGAAACAGTGTTCTCACCAAGCCGCGGCCTTGCGGGATTTCCGCAAGAAAAACTGAAATTGCGCATTAAAACCAAGAAGATGCGCCCGTTAGGGGGCAGGGGCAAGCTACGAGTCAAACGGACTTAAGTAGTTTTAATGGTCAACCTAACACTAAAGCATTCTGTTTGTTTGAATAAATAAAAAACATGATATCAAATGAGTCAAAGTCTTTAATTTTGTTGCCTTTACTTTCATTGGTCCCACGCACGTCCCACTACATCGTAAACTCCTCCTCCGAATCGTAAACACCTCTTCCGCCATATTGGATCAGGTAGGTACTTCACGTAACAGACAATTTGGAGTGCGGGCTCAGGTTCTTCGTACTGCGTGTTTTTTGTTGACGCGAGTAACTTTGTCCCCCTAATGTTCTTACAGCAGGGTTCTCCCTAAATTTTNGGGGGGGGGGGGGGGGGGGGGGGGGGTGGGCAGGTGGAGTGAGGTACATGGACCCTGCCGTCACTGGGAAATTTTTTTATTCCCATATTTTAAAACATATTTTACACAAATCTGCTGTCGTGTTATCTTTAGACAACAAATTAAAACGTTTCATTCCAAAATGCATGTCCCTAAAAAGGAAAGCTGTATATACAGTACAGTCCAAAAGAAATGCATGTGCAAAAAGTGGCGTAAGAAGTTGCTGCGCCACAAGAATATGCAAGCCACCGCAAGAAGCGAAAGTGCCGTATTTTTGCGGATCCTTTGTGATTTACCTGCAAGAACTTTGAAACGAAAGAAGTCAAAAATCTTCACCGCAAGAAGCTACAAAATTACCGCAAGCCTCAAGACGGCGTACGAAATTCTTGATAAGTGTTAACCTGAAAGAAGTTTGTGGTGTTTGTCGCCTTTTTGTTACATCATTTTGTAGCCTTGACACTAATTCACTCTGTGGCAGCAGAAGGTTATCATGCAAGTAAAAAGTTGCCTGAGAAAGCGAACAGCTTTCTCTGCAGAAAGCGAACAGCTTTCTCTGCTTTTTCTGCAAAGTGAACACTTCAAACGTTCAGCTTTTCCAAAGGTAGATAAAGCGTGTGAGGCGATTGTTTAACAAAACGATCTGTAGTTTCGAACATTTCGATCATTTCATAGTACAATACCATAGTCTTGGCAAAACAAACCAAAGGCGTTGAATTTCTGCCACAACGGATATCACGATTCCAAAGAAAACATGACAATTATTTATTACTTTATAAGGAAAGGAAATCTTGTCGAGTCAATTTAACAGTTCTATTGTCTTTTGAAGAAAAAACAGATGACGCTCGCGCGTGCGCATAATCGGGACACTGTCCCTTTAAATGTTCAAACACTATGTGCCTAAAGTATAGATTAGTGATCCGCTGACAAATACAGAAAGTGGCACAGCTATTTTATTATCAGAATAAATTTTCACGTGTCTGCGGCGATGTCGCAAAATGACCCGATGATCGTTTGTGAAACTCCTTCAAACAGCTACTGAAAGAAGGGAAACAAACGAAAACTGAAAAGGATAGAAACGATAAAAATGAAAACATTGCCAAACGATAAATGTAAACGATTCAAACACTGAGCGTAACGCCTCACTTGACCTTGATCTGACCTGTTGAATAATTTTGTCTGCAAAATTTTCCATGAAATATATTTATGAAAGTAAAAACGACGGAAGAAGTTCTTGCGTCTTGCTGGGTTCAAGCGCAAGCGCCTTGCAAAAAGCCACACGAAGTTGCCAGCCTGCGGAAGCAAACAGAAGTTCTTGCATGTGCATTATTTTTTAGCCTGTGAAAACATCCGTTTCTCCTCGCTCTTCGCCGCCGATGTTTTCGCAGGCTAATTATTTTTGGGCTGTATATACGTGTGTTTTGTTCTTAGGTGGTTATACTTTTTTATATATTCATTCATTTTCTCGTGGGGATCGGATCGGATCACAACTTACATATTTTTTAGCGGCTGCAGGCGGTAAGAAGTGTTGCTTCAGGCGGTAAATTTTACCAGTTACCGCCTGATAAGGAGAACACTGTTACAGGGCCCCTATTTCTCAGAAGGGGGGGCCCTGGGACTCCCCAAGGCAAAATCCTGGTGAGAACACTGAGGAAATTATCATTTGGTTGAATTTTATAGTCCTGGATAGGCCTGTTGATATATCGTGACTAACAGTTCGACAACCTGTGCAATAGTCATTTTGACTCTGAAGATGACTTTGTGCAGGTTGTCAAAACATCAGTTACTGTAAACAACAGTCCTTTTCTGGACGTTCAAATCCCACCTATTAATATAAAGAAATAGGGCTTTATTTGGTAAGTCTACTTCCGCTCTTTGATATGGACGGTATCAAAACAGCAAATTGTCACACTAACACATGTAGGATATAGACATTGACTTTAGAATCAACAAGTCTTAGAATAAACAAATGAAATCCAGTACGCCTTCTCTGTCCCGTTATAAAAAATTGTTTAGCTTAAAAATCAGCAATTCAAAATTGAAAGTTGGACTGTAAGTCACAAAAACGGAAATTGGCCATACAGCTGCCAGCTAATCAGACAGACATGATGTAATTTTACTTCAATAAAAACACACAATTTAAAAAAAAGATACAGCGAATAATTCTTCATACCTGGAGAAAGCTGTAAGGCTTCAAGAACAGTAGCGTACATGTGAGGAGCTGACAAATGAACGTGTGGTTCCCCGCGAAGCGGTGAGTCTATGTAGGCCTCGACTTGTAAATCGTGGGGCACAAACGCTCCCCTTGGGACAGCCCTGAAAGCATCTTCCACTTCTGAAGTTATTATAACGCCCATATGAACAAATTTGTCTACCATTTCCTCGTTACTTCGTCCAGTACATCTCCAAGCCCCGGGTAAGCCACTTGTAGCGGACGAACTACGAAGAGCAAACATCTTTGGTGCACTTCCTTTGAGAATCTTCTGAATTTTTAGTTCGCTTTCTAACTTATGCAAGTTGGAAACTTCGCTCCTTTGAAAGGAGTATTACAAAACCTGCTTCAAAACACGTTTACCCCATTGATGAATAAAGTAGTTGACTCTAAACACATGAATACCAATCCAAACTTAAGAGGATATAAGGAACAACATTGCTTCACTCTGATGTCAGTTGCCGATGTTGAAGGGCGCAAGTGATGATGGGAGGCACGCGCGGGGGCAACACACGCTTTTGCCTTCACTACCCAGAAAGCCACGCGGCCCGCCCAACAGTAGATGATATGGCTCTTAGATGAGCAAGGACCTCAAAGCTAGTTTATTGCAAAATTACCGCAAGATTACAAGACCGCACTTGATTAAAAAACACTCTACGACGAAAAACTAACCTCTAAAGAAATCAACGGTCACGACACCGTCGAATACGAAAACCCCAAACCCTAAAACCACTTGGTGGAAAAAAAAGGGAACCTTCCCCTCCCTCGCCTCTCCACCCCCGCTGCTAAAAACAACTTCGGTGCCGACAACTCGGGGGCAGAGGCACGCAAAAACTGGCTGCCAAAAGCCTATAAACAAATATAACAAAATTGGTAAATAAAAGTTAGGAGCGCTAATCTGCTGACCTAATCTCGTACGCCGACTTCACTCTGTCTTACGCTGGAACCAAAAAAAAAAAAACTAGATTGATTCAAATTTGCAACGTTCGTTAGTATGACCATTTTTTTTGGCTCTGCAAAACGGCCGTACATTTTCCTTTTAAAAAAAACCGTTAGTACAGTCACCCGTTAATGCGACCAAAGGCCACATTTTAAAGACGGTCTTTAAAATCCCAAACAGCAGAATCTTTTACAATTTCACCCCGTTAATACGGCCACTCGTCAGAAGTAATCGGCTCCTGCAGAAATTTAAAGCTACACTGAAAGGAAAGAAGTCGAAAAAAGGAGATGACGTCATACTTAGGAATCGAACTCGGGATCTCCCGCACAGAAAGACGCGCACTAATCCTTCCTTTTGTTTATTAAAGAGAACATAGCCTACGGGTAGCCGCACCTTTCCCCGGACAAGGTAGGCTTACTTCTTTCCTGCGAGCAAGCTCTCCCGGAAGCTCTGGCTGCTTGGCGGGAAAAGGAAGGAGCCCGCTGCTTCGAAAAAGTCGATGCGAAATGCTTATTGGCGGAGATGACATTTGTGATGACGTTATGAACCTTGGCACGTGTTTTTCAATGTTTTTTCACATTAGCGCTCGTTTCAGCTTCGCACTGATTGGCGGAAATCTGACAGCTCAGTCGACAGGGAGCACAGGGACCTTTTCCCACTTTTTAGGACTTCTTTTGAGGAAAGACGTGACTTTGAGCTAATGCAGATGGACACTGACAACCTGTACTTTGTACGTTGCAGAAAAACTCTTGTAGACGTGGCTCGCATCAAACTGCGCGAAGAGTTTGAAGCCTACATAAAGCAGTGGCTGGTTTGCGACAAGTGCTTCGCGTTATGCAGTGGAGAATAAAAATGTAGGAAAGGCCTAGGACCCCCTTTTACAACCCCTCGCTGCGAAGGAAAAACTATCATTTCTTTTAAGAACGAAATGTGACGTTTCAGTCAAGATTTTTTTAGACTGGCAGAGCTGTATTTTCTTTTCCTTTAGATCAAGAAAACTTTTAAAACATTTACAGACACACACGCATCCCCATACCATCTCTTTTGGATGACGCTAGTAACATCGTGACCACCGATGCCCTCTAACCGATCTTAGATGGTTCCGTCGGGAGATGTTCGGGAGTATATTCGAACTGAGCGTCCCTCTCTCACACATGACGTCACATCCGCCATGTTGGTATCCCTAAACAATAAAACGGCCGCCATGTTGGTCTTGTGGGAGTTCAACCTTTTTCTTTTCTTAAAAACTTTCTTTTGTTTATTTTTGGGACGCGCGAGTCACGGGGGGACCCCTCTGGGTTAAGCATAAAGGGCTGATGGTAAGCTCGTTCATATGATCCTGACGAAAGCAGTGGGTTATCAAAAGCTTACTCAAGATTGTCATCACCATTATTGCCATCATCAACATCACCATAATCATCAGCATCATCATCGTCAATATCATCATCATCATCATCATCACCATCATCGTCAACCTTGTCATTTTAATATCACTATCCACAATTACCATTCAAATGACCCATAGCACATTGCCATTCAAAAGCATAAGAGAAATGGAGAAAGTCTTGATGATCAATGAAACAGTTTTTTTTATTGTGGATAGAACTTTGTTTGTATAAAAATAATTATCAATACAACAAAACCTAAATTCTATTAAAAAACACTTTGATCTATTTCTTAATGTAACTCAACTTGTAAGTCATTATTTTAAAAAATAATTGATAATGTTGTAACACCAATATTAACCACATAAAATCTCATAATATTTTTATCTAGAATGCAACCCGTTTTATTCATTATACATTTCTCATGCTCTACTTGCTTCTAATTTTTTAGGCTTTGCAGAATATTAATATGCAACCTTTTAGTGTATATTTTTTCCTGTCACACAATAAAATAATACTTATTTGATTGTATGTAAAGTAACTCTGAGTAAAAGATTGAAAGAAATAAAGCAAACTTAATTCCTGATACTGCGCCTCATGAAAACTATCAACCCTTTACAAGCAAATTACTTTGGTGATTATTTCCAAAAATATATATAATATAGTTTAGTATTAAATCTCAATAATGCTGACCTTTATATCTACCTTAAGTACCTTAATCAATTTTAAAAAAATAGTATCTGCAGCAAATATCATGAATCAATGATAAATTACATAATCATTCTTTAGATCATAGTCCCTACATATATCACACAACTGGAACTTTTGAATTCTTCCTAAACATTCTTTCATATGCAGTGTATTAATGTTTGTATGGCAACCACATTGCTGTTCTAAAACTATGATAAAACTTGCAGTTTTGCCATCATTCTAAAAGGATACCCTGAAACATGGTTGTCAGGCTAACGTCAACAGTGCAATGGTCATAATGTACACACAGAAAATTGAAAATTCTTTCCTATAAATCATTTAGTATAATATCAACATACAAACGAACTCTAGCTAGTTAAGTTCTTGATTCTAGAGCCTTAAACCCAATTCAATAAAATGCAACACATAACAAAAAGAAATCATTAACATAATTATTTTTTGTGAAAGGTTTGAACCCAGGAGTCATTTCAAAAGTAGGTTGAGTTTGATCGTCCGGGTGAACGTAGTCCCGAATAGGAATGTTGTTGTTGACAGTGACTGTCACTGTCAACAACAACAGTCCTATTCAGGACTACGTTCACCCGGACGATCAAACTCAACCTACTTTTGATAATTATTTTTTGTAAAAAAAAAATTGTAATTAAATTTCTCAAGGAAATACAAATTAATGATCCTTGCTTAGTATGTGCACAAATTTCATGCAGACACAACATTCACTTATGGAAGAGATTGGATGAGACATAACCTGTCTATTTCTCTCCATTTTCACATTATTTATCAAAAAAGTCAATAGAGACATTCATTTATTTTTACATTAAAATTTTGATCCAAACCTGAATGAAACAAAGACGTCTTTTGTTATCGTGAACAACTTCACCAAGGCTTACAAGTAAAAGATTCAGAGCAGATCACTTAATTCAACCATAAGCACATTAATGGGCAAAAAACTGGAACTGTCAGTCCTAGACACCTGAGGGGCAGGAGCAGGGGCAGGGGGAGGGTGTGGTTGACAAGCAAAGAAGTGAATTTTGTTTCACCGCAGTGTTTATCTATCAAAGAAATATTGCACAATGAGTGACCAATATTTAACCACGGATATAGCTGTTAGATTTCAACTGTCATGTAGACAGGCCCTATGTCAGGGCCCGCGCAGGGGGAGGGGCAGGGGGGACCAGGGTCAAAAGTCGCTTAGGGCCTTTTTTCATGCACCCCTTCAATTTATTATTATGGCAGACCTGTGACTATTGAAGCAAAACAATCCACACACCAACTCAAATACAAGTATGCAATATTGGCTGGTATTATAAGGATTTCTTAGACCTTCTCCTTTTTGCAGGACGAACAGGCATGTCCAGATGAGTTCCCAAACCTAGTAGAAAATAGTAATATTCAATTAAAAGAAGAAAATTAATATTACTATACATTTAAATAATAATGATCAAACATGTAATTGAGTAACAACCAACTGCAACCATCAAGAGTCTAGCAATATTGATGCTTATTGGCAAGTGTTTAACAAAATAATAGTTATTTTTAACCTCTTATATCCTTATACATTATTCTAACTACACTAATTCAAATTCTAAGAGTGCTTTATACGCCTTACAGATATTTAGAATATGAGCACAACAGAACTGTGTTTTTTCTCTAACCACACATGCAGGTTGACGGGTTTGTTCCACCAAGTTCTAGGTGTTAAAGGCAATTCATTGCATCACACTGCACATTTTGCAAACTTCAGAGCAATTTTAAGTTATTCTGTTGCAGCAATCACTTGAATGAGTATTGGTGGGATACATGCAAATCAAAACGCAACATGCTCACCCAGCTATGGCCCCTTGCCACTCTGAAAATGACTCAAAAATAGCACGAAAATTGTGATGGAGAGTGGTAATTTTGACAAGATATTATTCTTGCAAAAGGGGGGAGAGTCATTCATTCATATGGGAAAGATCAGAGGCATCCTCAAAACAACCAGTTGATTGAGTAACACCTCAGCTACCAGTGAGTAGAGGTGTAATGACTGTTTTACTTTTAGTTTTGACCTATTGCCTAAATTAAATGGAAATTAAAAATCTTCTTCCTGAATGAGGTATCCATAGCCAGTCTAGCAGTTTGAGTACTACCCCCACAATGTTTTTTAAAAAATATATCTTGAGCTGTTGATAAAATGTTATCATATTATCACACGGTTTTGAAAAGAGAATACACAACTACAGGCAAAAGTTTAGATCTATATCAAAAGAAAATAGCAAGTTTTTATGCACATATACACCACCGAGTTCAGGCAATACATGTACTTTAAATCTAAACGCAGGAGGCAACGAAAGTCAGTTTTACGCGATGTGTTTGACATTGTGATGAAACAGTGCTTAGAATATTTTGATAAAATTTCCTACACAAAATGATTTTGAATAGAACATAACATTATAAATATGCAAAACTGAAGAGTTTTTCATTACATATTCAAAGTATAATCAAAGCATAATCAAATGGGTTTTACAACTAAATTCCAGGTGATGGTCCATTGGAAAAATGTGGAAAATAATAAAACGGATTTTAAGACACCATTTTTTCTACTGTGCACTATTTTTATAACCTGTATTTGCAAATAACAAACAGTCATCAGACATTATGTCTAACAAAATAGAAAAAAATATATTGGCCCATGTCCAATGAAGTGTTAGCTGTAATCAGATATGATGTCGGGACAAAATTTACACCAAAGACTATTAAGGTCAGTACACACTAGACAACAAGTTGCAGCAACATGTCACAGCGACTCATCGTATAAACAAATCACTTTGTGTGTACTGGAGAACTTTTGTGAAAATCGTTGTCTCTGCAACAAATTTTTGTCACCGCAACATGTTGCAAAATACAAAATCAGGCAGAATTCTGTTCCTGAGACAAAGATTTTCAGAAAAATTCTCCAGTATAAAGTGATACTTGAGGAGTGATCTGTTGCTACAAATTGTTGCCTAGTGTGTTCCGACCTTTATTTTGAAGATGAATAAAACCTGAGCATATTGAGATGTGTTGTGTCCTTGAAATAACATTGTTGCAGGGAATATATGGCAATAATTAATTAGTCTACCTCCAAACCCCATTACTATCATGCACAATTTTCATGAAAGACGTAATGCATTCTTGAATGAGTCCAAACAAATTTTTGTTTTGTCCCACCAAAAAAGCGACTAAGCTAGACAAGAGTCCTTTCATAAAAATAATTATTAATTGCATCTCTGCAGAATACAAAAAAATAATTCTGACCTGTTTTTCTCACTCCAGAGTTACTTCCAGTGTTCCCAAGACCATTTCCAATACTGCTGCCAACATTCACACATGCAATAGAACTGTCATGGATAAAGCTCAACTTTGGAGGTGATCCATAGAAATTTTGTTTCAAGCTTTCCTGTACTAATCCATCTGGGCTTTCATCATTAGTCTGTCCAAGCTGATCAAGAGATGGATTGGCCAAACTAACCCCATCTTTTCTGGGTCTAAATGAAACAGAATTGCTACCAGTCCCATTACTATCAAACTCCATCTGTTTGGAGTTATCCACTTTCACTGAGTTTTTCACTGTTTCAGTAACATTTGCCATAAAAACTTTACACGACAATGGAACTACAAAAGATGTAGGCTCTTGAGTGTTTGTATTGTTTAACTCATTTTTATCTTCAAGCTTGCTTTCAAGTCCTTTTTGCTTTGAGCTTTCAGAACAGGAATTCTCCTCGAAAAAATCACCGGTCTGCATCTTTTCTGAATTTGAATTGTTAGGAGGGTTTGCATGAGAGATTTCTGGCTTAGATAATGGCATTTCTTCTGGATTTGACTTCACTGCATTCTCACAAGCACCACCAACAAAGATTTTTGTATCTTCCTTGGCGTCCACTGTTGTTGCTGGCCTGGCTGGGTTGACTTGACTTGCATTTAAGTTCAGTGCCTTGACATTTGACAGGTTACAAGATGCTAATGCTTGCAGTCTACTCCGGTACAACAAACTGAGCTGTTGCCAGTACCTCATGGAACTGGCAAGGTCAATGAATTGCATCTGAGGGGGAGCCACAGTGTTAGTGGTGGGTTTCAAATCTGCTGTGGTTACAGTTGTTTTCTCTGCAGAAACATCAGAATCTGTTTTGGTTTCTGTTGTCTTGTTAACAGACACATCATTTTGATTCACTGGTAGAGTTTTATTTTCATTTTCGCTGCTTTCTGAACTTTTGGGGTCGCTTACTTGAGCCGCCATCGTGAGAAAAGGGTAAACAAGGCTTAGAGGATATACATAATTTAGTGGATAAGCTGCAGTAACTGCTTGCTGTCCAAGCTGGTTGTTATTGACATCTGCATTGTATAGTGCTGAGTAAATTCCATATTGACGCTGGCCTCCAACAAAATATGTTGGGGAAACCTGCTGATTGGACCATGTGGTTTGTGTGTTAGAACCCGCAATAACAAGTGGTGTTGGTATAGCTGCCGGTCTTCCTAAGGTGAGATTCTGTACCACTGCTGTACTTGTGCTTACTGGTAATGAAGACTTTGCAGTTGTTGCAACATGAGAACTGCTTGTTCGCTGAGCAGGCAACGAGGCTACTACTTGGGAATTAAATGTAGACAGTGTCGGCATTTTGTTGATCACGTTACTTTCAGACGAAGTCTTCATTCCCTTTAATGACTGATCTAACTCTGGTTGTTTGTTTGATGTGTGAAGGTTGCCAGAGGTTGCTGTACATGTGAATACTGACTTGGTAACATCAGTCCATGTTACTGCATCACTTGTCACACTTGCTCTTACAATACTTTTAGCACCTTTTTGGTGTACTTTTGAAGACAAGATGATATCGTTGCTTGATGAACTACCCTGAACAAAGTCTGCTGGTAATTTGTTAAAGAGAAAATGGGCAGAAGAAATGTCACTTTTTGGAAAGGCATTAGCGCTTGACCACAACACCTTGCGTCCACCATGATACCCAGCTATTGTGCTTGAAGTTGCTTTGATGTTACTTGCCTGTGAATCATTTTCTTCTGAAGCAGGGAGCTGGTTTGAGGAACTCTGAATTCTGTCTTCAGCAGTTAGAGGCTTTTCAATACTGGTACCCCTAGATTGAAGGCCGAGTGTCTGATCACCTACGCTTGAGGCTGGTGTTTTTAATGATGCACTAACAGTTGATGTAGTAGCTGTCAGACGTGTGAGGGAATTGCAACGTATGCTCTTAAGATGTTCACGATAACTTCCAGTAATTACTGATCTCCTGTTGTTACTGGTATCTAAAGCTCTCGACTGTTTCCTTTGATGCATTCCACTTGAGCTGGATTTAGCAATGGCAGGAGTGGATGTCGATGAATGTGTTTCTAAGCTTACTACAGAAGTGCAAACAGTCGACTCCTTAATTTTATGAGTCTTGGCAAGTTCTTTCAGTATGTCAGCAGCACTGTATTTGCTTCTGTCAACAAAACAGTCATAAATCAGCTGATCATGATGAAGATCAAAATTCTCCTCAGAGCTCGTACTGCTGGTATCTGAGCTTGGGCTGGCGCTGTAAGTTCTCTGACTAGCAGGAGAGGACACGGCTCCATGAGATACAAGGCTTTCAACACTGGTTTTTCTCGATAGAACCGAAGCTGGACTACCTGACGGTTTTTGCAACGTTTTCTGCATAGTTGATCCAGAGTTTATTAAGCCCTCCTCCGGGGCAAGGCCGCTATTGTCTTGTGAATTGTTCTTGAGCTTACTCAGATGTGATGACAAATCGGCGGAACTCGAATGCGCACTCAATGAACTTGCGATTGACGAGGTTGTGGAATGTGATACGTGGCGAAATTGATTACAACTCTTGGGAGGATTGCTCAATGTTTTGCTTGAGTCTTTGAATAAATTATTTTCTGCAACATCTCCATCTGACCGAACAACTCTCTTTCTCTTCGCCATTTCATTTCCAAAGCTCAAATCTTGCATGGTTTGCAGCCCATGAGCAATCGACGCTTGCGAGTTGAAATCATTTGGCATGTGATGAATTGTCGCTACATTCCTACGAGAAGATACCTTCTTTACTCGTCCTCTGCTCGCGTTTCCCCGTAGTTTCGCTGCAGCTAGTTCCGTTTTCTTTATTCTTTGCTTCCCTAGTTTTATTCCTAGTACAATGCTCTCGCCTTCATTGATCTGCACAGCTAGCACCCCGAGGTCCAACAAGCGCCGATCTCTGCTAACTGCCATCGTGCGAAGCTTGCTAGCCGCTTTCCTGGGGATTGGAAATGTAACCGTAAGTGGGGCATCTCTTTTGCTTCCCATCCTCCGCAGTGCATGAAAAAATCTTTTCTTTAAGAGCCACAATCAGTTATTCGCTTTTGTCGATATCCACAGGGATGAAAAGACTAATCCCTCCTTCGCTGCACGTTAACGGATGAGCAATGAAACAAAACACCCCTTCATTGAATTCCTACGCCCGGCCGGCCGTCTCGCGGGACAGCCGCTGTGATTTGCACCTCCTGAGGGACGGTCTACTTTTCTATGATACCGAAAAAAAATTGAGTGTCCGGAAACCCAGCGCATCGAGCTGAGACCAAAAACTGAAAAAACCAATCATGCATATAAAATTCTTGTTTTTGGATGTCACCCAGACATTACAATTACAATAAACAATATTTATTCGCATAATGAGGCCATTTACTGATTACCATAATTTGTCAGCAGGGCACCATGGAGGGTGCAATGTGGAAACCAAGTGGGGAGGGCCAGGTCAGAGTCGAAGTCTAGTCTAAGTTTTTCAAGGCGTGAATGGGATAGTTTTTTTTGTTTGTTTGTTTTTTAAACAAACAACAGGGTCTATTTGAATGCTAGCAAACTGAAATACAAAATAGGCTGGTTTATTTCAGGGAAAGACATCAAAGGAATATTCCCACGGCGGCAGTTTTGACACTGAAATTTCCAGACGGGAGCGGCCCGAAACAGAGTGCGTTTTATGTCTGATGGAATCCACAGTAAATTCGGTATACTCACGAAATTAGAAAAAAAACGAGTTTTTTTCCCCATAAAATGACGTGTGAATAAGAAACCCATGCATGATGTAACAATGTATGTAACCAGTTGTGAAAGTAGGCGAACTCGCGAGATTGGACGGAAAATTTTTTTCAAAAAATAGACACCACAGAGCTTCATTTTCCGTTTTTTCACCAGAAAAGTTAACACGGTTTATAGTTGTCATTTAAGGAGGTTATTACTTACCTTGCGTTTGTGTTTTGTCATTTACTGTCTCTTCGCCTCTAGAGCCATTTGTAAGCCGTTTTATCAACGTTTATTTAAAGATTTTGCGGTTGTACTACTAACAGTGAGAAAAATCTTAAACGTCAATAAAACGGCTTCCAAATGGCTCTAGAGGCGAAGAGACAGTAAATAACAAAACACAAACGCAAGGTAAGTCATTTTTATTTCTATTTTCGTCCAAAATTGGAATTTAGGGCGTATCTTGTTTGTTTTCATATATTCTCTTTTAAATTCAAAGTCCAACGAACTCCCACAGAGTTTGGGCTGCCTGTGCTGGAACCCGTGCACCACGTTTTCCCGCCAAACCGCCAAAATGACGATGGTTCACTGTAATGCGACGCTCGTAAATTAAAAGTTTCTAATACGTCATAGAAGCCTATGACCCTCCTGTGCCTGCCGGGTAGGCGTTTGAAAGGTGAGGGAGAGGTAGTACAGCTGGTTCGAGAAAGGTTGTCGGAAAACTGCACGCGACAATCCCGAAAGGTATTTGGGTGGTTTTGTGTTCACTTTCCTTCAAAGAAATTTGAAAGAACGTTTGCGATAGCCTGACTTGGAGTCGTTTTCTTCTCTCAGCGGTGGAGGGAGTAGGAGTAGGCCTTGGCGGATTGTGCTAGCATGATTTTTGGCAAAATTGGAGCAAAAAAGCATAATTTTTTAAACGAGCACTGCCACGGCATAATTAGCAAATTTCAGCACTTTTTGGAGCATAAATTCATAAAAGTTAGTAAATATGGTGTCTTTTCTACAGAAATAAATTAAATCAGTCGCAGTGAAGCAGTTTCTATTGGTGCAGCCTTTCTCTGGTGCAGCCTTTCTCTGCTGCAGCTGAGCGAGCCTTCTCCCTACTCTAAGCGGCATTTAGCGATCAGCAGGACAGCGCTCTGGCAGACTATCTCCAGGCCAGCGTAATGCTGATGCTGATGTTGACTTGTGTATACTATTCTTATCCATGTTTATTCAAGCAATTATTGGTGCTGAAAGAACTCAGAGCTGTCAAGACAAGTTGATTTACTTTGTGGCTTGATACTTCCAACGTTATAGTTTCCTATAAGGGGTGGCGAATGGTAAAATCCGAGACTCGCCGAGACGCCGAGATCCTAGTTAGAAATCCGAGTCCGAGACTCTTTGGTGAAAAGTTTCGAGACTCAAAAAAAGTAAAAGCAAACCATGAAAAAACGAGACTTCGAGACTTATCAAAAACGCTTCCGAGATTTCGAGATCCTGCCAAAATTTTCCGAGACCCACGTTTTTCGAGGTACCATTCGCCACCCTTCCTATAGTTTGAGTTAGTTTAAATCAAGACAGTACTATATCCTTTTGGTTCAGTCAGTATATACAAGTGTGATCGTTAAGTCGTTGAAGGCATTTTACAAACGATTCAGAGATGCGAGCAGCTAATTTGGACAGCTGAGGGCCGAGACAAACTGCCATAAAACACAAATAAATTTACAACAACAGTTTATTTGAAAAAATCATAATTTGGTGTCGTTATTCCGCGCCTATATGTACAGAATCTACGTCATTTTGTGAGCATTATTTCGGAAACCAGAAGCATGATTTGGGAATTCTGGCATAATTTTGCCATAATTTGGCAAAATTTCGAGCACTGCTAGTAGCATAATATACCACTTTTAGGAGCACAATCCGACAAGGCCTAGGAGGGAGTAATAACGACTCCAAGGAATCGGATGAAATTCAGGCCACGTTTGCGAATGCTAAAGGAAATCAACAAAAGTATGTTCGACAGCTACAGTGTCAGGAACCGTGTATTGATCATACCCCATATTACCTTCGGGATTGTCGCGTGCACATTGACAACCTTTCTCGAAATAGCTGAATACCCACCACATTAAGGAAATTCCGAGCGCGAGAAGCCCCTTTTTCCTCGCGCGTGGTCTCGCACCCAAATTCCATTCCTCTCCGCTTTCGAACGCCTGCCACGCAGGCTACACTATTCCACCGGTATTGAATTGCTATTTTGGAAAAGGTAATGAAAAAGAAATGGTCACTCTAACAGTGGTCCCGAATGATGTTTTGCCCGTATGCCCAGCTGAAGTGTCAATAAATTTAGCTGAGTCACGCACATTGTTTATTTCCAATTTTATTTAATAAAATGTATCTATTTAGATTTATTTATCATGTTTATCTATTTACATAATTTTCACCATTTCCTCCAGCTGCGCTGAGCCTGAAAAGACAGCCGACATTTCGCTTCTTATTACTGAAAATTTGCTGCAACGAATCAGAAACCCTACCCAGATCTGGGTAGTGACGCGTTATCAGCACAGGATTTCGGCACTAGGAACACGGACGAGATGCTGTCGATGAGTGAGAAGTGCGAGTTGGGGGTGATGGAAACGAGCACAGAGCGCCAGCGGGGAGAAACGGTTTCCTTAATTATTTTACAACTAAAATATCCCTAAAATAAGCCATCGCGAGCACACGTTTACATAAGTTTGGTTAAATTCGCAAAATGCATTTTAAAAGCTTACCCACGACCGTTCACACACGGCAATCTAACACAAACATTCGTGCGTCGTGTGGATGTTGTCTAACTGCTGCGTTCACACTTGGCGTCCGCGCACGGTGCCTTAATACGGTACTCGCTGGATACTAATGTGAATACAACCAGCCTTTTTGAATACCGGTTTCCGTAGCATGAAGCATCATACCCACGAGTATTGCTAGGAATGCAGTTTCAACTATCACTAAACTATGCTTTCATTTATGCAAAAGGTTTTTTTCGAGTTTGCGGCTCGAGCAGACGGCTAAAATTCATTCTATAAATGTTTAAAAAATTTTTGTTCTTAGTTAATTCGAAAGAACCCTCGGGCAAGCATGATAACAATACTTCCTTTTTCAAAAAAGTACTTGAATAGGAGGCATCACTGTTTATAAACATTGTTTTAGTTATTCAAATTTGTAATGAGTAGAACAAAACAATCTTTTGTTACAAGAAACAATGTACTTCTGGTTGGCACATTAATATCAATAGGTAACGTCAGCGTGAGTATCGCTATATATTATCTCTACCCCTGAAAGTGTGTCTTGCGATACTCTTGATGAAGACGCAGTATTGCTTATGTTATATATGTATGTCTCCATTACTTAATTTACGGACTGTTTTAATCAGTTGCACAACAATTGCACTCAGTAACGTGTAACTGAGGCTATACGCCGGAACAAGTACGCATGTAGCGTTATGTAGCGCCACACAGCAACTTTTTTCCCGGGAAAACGCGTCCACTGACTGAAGAACGGGCCGTACTCGGCAAAGGCGATTGAAAATCGTCCAATGCCTTTAAGCTAAGGTTTAATCATCATTAAGAATTAACAGTTGCTTGGTCTTTGAGTATGACTTCATTGCATCAGAGATGGCCGTCTTGAAGTTCTCAAATGAATGTTTTGTACAAGGTGGAGCCTTGAGCTTTCCTTCACGTACCATGTTACATACTTCCTCTAACATGGCAAGCCTTGTAACGTCTGACGAAAAACAAGTCATCAAGGCTGAGTCGGCAAAGCAAACACAATGATTTCGACAGTTTAACATAAACTAAGCCCATTAGCTGGTGGCTATATTTACTGAGACTTAGTAAACATATAAATTCTCTCATACTGTCTCGAAACTTTAACTAATGTTTGAACAAATGTCGTATGTATTTCATGGAAGAACAACCTACGTCTGTTTCGCCTAAAGTTCTAGGAAAATATTCTCCAAATGTAAACTGCGCTTCTAACATCAGCTGTAACATGAGCGTAACCGGATAGGTTCACTACACAACATGCCACTATTTGAAAAGGAAGGATATTAAATTGCTAAAAAAAAGATACAGAGATTATATTTTGTGTGACAAGGTTGACTCCTTCATAGCGCTACATTTTACAATAAACTTTTCCAATGACAATACTCTCGCTGACACAAAAATTAGCCTGCGTGGCAGGCGTTAAAAGGGGAAGGGGAAGGGGGAATTTGGGCGCGTGAGGGACAAAGGAAAGGAAAGTTTTCACCTTGGTAAACTCGTGAGATAAGGGAATCCAAGACAGTCTTGGATTCTGGATTACACGCCTTGGCTTCCGGATTCCAGCTACTTGATTGTAGAACTTGGATTTTGGATTCCAATCCTTAGTAGGATTCCGGATTCCTTGAGCTGCATTCTGGATTCCAAAGCCCTGGATTCTGGATTCCACAAGCAAAATTTTCTGGATTCTGGATTCCAAAAGGAAAAATTTCACGGAATTCCGGAATCCTTATTCCCTTACATGTGGCGAAGAATGGTTCAAGTTTTGAAGAAAGAATCTAAATCAGGTACCTTTCTGATGTTCTTTGCTCCACTTGCTCATCCAGAATCCTCTGACCTTCACATCACTGAATATTAAGGAACCCTTAAGAGGAAATAAAAATAGCAACAAAGATTCGACCAACGTTGAGGGCAACACGGAAGACTAAAGCACCAAGCGAAAAAGAGAAGTAACACCGAACTCCATTGCAAAATGAACCATGAGTGCCCAAAACATCCAGGAGTTTTCATTATTAGAGATTAACACTTCCAAACTCATAACTGGCAAAATATCCAACCTAAGAGCCTCCACGCAGCTGGGAGGACAGAAGCATGTCATGCTAACAAAACACGAGGAAAGGGTGGGGGTAGGAAGGGAGGAAACAGCCTTTTCATCTAGTGCTTAGCATTAGGTATTTTTAAGTTATACAACCAAATGCAGGAGTTTGAAATAATATTAGCAGGAACATATTCTATTGTTCACTGATAATATTATAAGGAGCACAGACCCGACCGCCTTAATCGAGGATGGCTGTAGAAATTGCATACTTTGTAATGTTACCAAGCAAAATTTATCCTGTTATAATATACATACATTTTTACCTGTTAATAGGTGTAATATTTTTATTTTTCCTACCTTTTACTATTTGCATTACTATTTTAACATTATTTTAACACTATTTAAATAATTATTATATGATTTTTACCTTTTATTGCACCACCAATTAGTCACTATGCACCAGAGATTCCTCACATGTCGATAAAGTTCACGACTTCACTACTACTACTACTACTGCATTTGCAACAGCTCATTTTATGGTCAGGTATGTCTTATCTGTTATGTGTGTGTCCTCTCAGACAATGACTATCTTGAAAATACTAGTGCAAATTTGTTGAGGACATTGATTCATTTGGCCTGGACGCTGGGCTAGTACATGTTATTCCCACACCCTCACTCCCCCATTTCTGAGAGCGTATTGCTTATAAGCAAGGTGGATTCCCTTGGGCTTCCTCGCCATTAGCTTTTAATATTTAGAGCTTCTTCTTACTTTGTATCAGTATATGGCTCACCCCCTACCCCACCCCTCACTGTTTTTCCTGCTCACATCCCTTCGCGCCATCCCTGCGTTCTAAACCGGCCTGGAACAGACTAAGTGGTTTAAGGCCGCTTGTTCAGACTGCCTCAGGTCTCAGGGGCTAAAAGTATAGGGGTCTAATCTGGGTTTATCAATGGTTCACATACCGTAGGTACAGTAACAGGCTGCCTGGACATTCCTCCATAAGTTACCATTGTTCCTTTTGTTCTGGAAGTAAAACACTTTTCATGAGATGTTACTGCCATTGTTTCTGGCCAAAGGAGTGTTGTTGTACAGATTCCATGTATACTAACTCTGAAAGCAAAGTGTCTGCCACTCTTCTTAATAAATATACTACTGACAATACAAAACTTCAAGGAAAGACTCTAAGTTAAACACTCCTTTTACATTTTTCTTACCCCAAATAGCGAAAAAGGACCAAAGAGCTCTTTCCTCCAACACAATTCAAAGCAAGTTTAGGAGGCTTCATGTTCTAAAAATAAATTCAGAAGTATTTATCTCTTGTATTTAAGTACAAGTTTAGGACACTGTAAAATAGATGCTCAGCAACTCACAAAATTAAAAAAACAGTAAATGTTTCTGTGATTTATAACAGGCTGCAGTTATACTTAAAAATCAACATGGGGATAAAAAAAGTAAGGTAAAGGCATATATGAGTCAAAGTACATGTATTGCTACTCCCTCCATGGACAGGATGTTAGTCCATCGCAGGATTACACCCCAGCAGTATGTTGCCAGGACCCATTTATACACCTGGGCAAAGAGAGACAAAGTGGAGTAAAGTTTCTTGTCTAAGGAAACAACGCGACAGGCGAGGCTTGAACCCCGAACCTCCAGATCTGGAGCTCGAGATGTAAACCACTCAGACACATATGCCCAAGAGATGATAGTCTGTTAACATGAGAGAAATTCTCAGCTTCATACTAATCCGTTTCCAGATATCTATTGGTAAAACTTAGTAAAAGAGCTTACAACCAAGGTTTCTCACCAAAAACTGCATACAGTGATCACACTTATGTTCAATTTTATTTGATCCCTCAATCACACTTTTAAACTATGTGAATCCCTTTATTTCTCTTGCCAATGGTAGACACTACTAAAAACTTTTATCTTTACATGAACCACACATGTACAAATACTTTCCACCGTGAGGTGTAATATTATTATCGTTGGTTCTTAAAGTCACAAGATTCTGAAAGTGTTGGAGAGTGAGGAACAGTCACTTACAATCAATGATTCTGGCTTGAATTAAGATGTTAGAGAGGGCTGATCTATTAATGCAATGAATGTGGGAAAACGTTTTAGCTTCTCTTGCAAGTACAGTGTTCCAAGCTGTAACAATTTTGGTTGCCATGGAAAGAAGAGTCAAGTTGAAAAGACGGAACTGACCTTCATTGTTTTCTTCATTTCAGAGCTTTTCAGTTCCTCTTCAGTAACAACATAATTTGCTCCTAGCCCCACAAGCTGACTTTTAAGGTCTTCAAAATCTGGCCTAATATAACAAACAGTTAAAATATCATTACTTTTTTCCCAATGCATGCAAACCAGATAAGTTCAAAACTAATAATTGTCCTTGCTGAACTCCAAACATATCTCACAAAATCATTGTTTAACTGTCAAGACAATTAAAAAAGAATAGTCATCAATTTACAAGGGACAAGTTAATTCTTATTACTGCAGGAACTTAACTTTCTCTAAAGGGTTTACTGGTACACACAATTTAAGAAATTTACCTGTCACGAACAATATTGACAGTGTTTAAACCCCAGGCTGCAGCGAGTTGGATTACTGCCTGTCCCACACCACTGTTTGCTCCATTTTGAATGACAGCATCACCTTGACAATAATGTTTAACAGACATATCATCTAACTACCATGAAAACCTATTAAAATTAAACCATAAACAATTAAGTATTGAATTTAGCTTCTCACAAACAATAACAACTCTACTGTGATGAGGAGGATAATGAAGATGACTGAGGGGAGGATGATAATCAACTCTTCATTGAATTTGGAAGTTTACATGTACTAAAATTAATTATTAGTTATCCAGTGATTAAAAAGTCTAACTACTTGTCACGTTTATAGATTTGAAACAGAGTGACTACAGTAGTGACAATAGTGCCGTAGTGTTGCTGTATTTAAATGATACCAAAATAATACCAAGTTGATCAAGTTTGCACAAGTTGTCCCTTTATGTAATGTTGATTGTGACTTTATCTGAAAGTTAGAATAAAGTGTGTCGCACTTAAACTTATTGAGTGAAGAATCCAGTTGTCATAAAAGTACATCTTTGTATAAACAGTGTTGAGGAGGCAAGTAAGGAAACAATTAAGGGTTCTTCAAGGTTATTAACTGCATGTTCCCAAGTCCTTGGTACAACAAGTTATTTTGACAAAAATAGAAAGTAGTGACAGCACCAGATCCACAGGCCCTCTGAAGCTCGGCAATAACTAGAAAAGTTACTTCTCTAGTTATTGCCGAGCTTCACAGATGTCAAATAAAAAAATCAGGGCCTGTCAGGTCAGACAAAATTCTTGCCTTTTTAAATTATTGTAGCTATCTTAGCCAATATATTTTTATAACTACCTGGCTCCAGCTCTTCAAAGTCCTTCAGCATCCTAAAAGCTGTACAAGGGTTTACACTAACTGTTGCTGCAGCATCAACAGGGAGACCAGCTGGAATTTTCAAAACTTGGTCTTCTGTAACCACAAGGTGTCTTCTCCAAGACCCTAGACATAAGTTGTAAACAAGACCATGATTTAAGTCCAAATACTCTCTACAGAATTAATGTAAACATTACATACACTAAACCATTTAATACCTAAGCTCAGATCAGCCCTTAGTACCACTTGGTCACCTGACCTGAGACTTTTCACCTCACTTCCAACTTCTGTGACTTCTCCAACACCTTCATTACCACCAACAGCCGGTAAAGGCGGCTTGATCCCATAAGTACCTGTTACAAAATGCACCAAATAATTGATTATAGAACCTACAAAATGCCGGACAAAACTGAAAGAAGAGTTGTTCTATTGATGGAAAGTGTCCAAATTTCTCCTTGCAGCTTTATTTGCAAACGCAAGGAGAGATGATGTTAGCAAATTTCAGGTTGAAAATACGGCCATTTTGAGACTTCTACCACGAAAACTGATATTCTTACATTTCTTGAAAATAAAAGGGTTTTTGCGAGAACAACTTACATCAGATTACTTATCTACCTAAAAACTATTTATGGACAAAAAATTAAGGAAACCGATTTTTCAACTCTTACCACTCGATGGTCAATATTTCCTGACCGTCACTCTTAAAATATAAAGCGTTATGGGCTATAGGCCAGTAAGCTCAAAAAGAGGGACTGGTAACAGCCTTTAAGCAGGGGCAATAATAATAAGCTATGCAGCACCATCATAATAACACTATGCACAACCAAGTGTCACATACTCACAGGGGGCTTTCAATATCATTGTGTGGGTGTGTTTTCTTTTGGCAGTCATCTTGAATATTGCAGTCAGCTAGTGTGAGTTCTGGGACTGAGAAATCTTCCAAAACCTTTTGGGAAGCAATCAGATATTCCGTGGATTTTTGAAATATCTGAATGTCCCAGGCCCTCTAAATTTCTTGGTCCCAGAACTTGCACCAGCTGACTGCAAAAGAAAACAAACCCACACAATGATAAGGGAAGTATTGTTTTTTCATTGATTATAGTCTAATCGAATGTGAGAGCCCCGTGTGCATACATTGTTACATACCAAGACAAAGATTGAATTATTATTCTAACCTTGAATCTGATTGATATCAGCAGGGTTTATTGGAGCTGCCAGCATGTGTAACAACACAGACCTGTCACCAAAGTTATTTGCTTCAACTTTCCTTACACTAATAATAAGAAAATACAAAGTGATTACATCTTTTCACAGGTGTGATACTACAGTGAAACAGGTCTCCTAATAGGGAGCTTTCATTATGACCACAATGACAGTGGTGAAAACGTCTTTTTTAGTGAATTTTATACCTGCCAACATTTTTTAATTTATAGCTGTGGCACTTTTATCCTGAGAGTGCCAGCATTTTTCGTAGGGGTCCGATTGTATCTGAAGATATCCAAAGATGTTCCAAAGAGTTCTGTCTAACATGAACATGGGAACACAAGGGAACAGTGACTTTCCTTAGTACGAAAATAAGAGAATTCAGAGAAAGCCGATCATGTTTTTGTGACTCTCATTTTAGACTAGTCTTTCTCAAAGCCTGTTTCCAGTTTCTGCTGGTTAGGTGGTCAGTAGGGAAATGAACTTTTCTGGCCTGAAGCACGCTATTTTTGACCCGCCACTTTTCTCGCTGGCAGTGTGACGGGGGTGTGTCATTAGGGATATCCAATCAGGAAACCCCTTATCTTGTGGCNAAGGGAAGTATTGTTTTTTCATTGATTATAGTCTAATCGAATGTGAGAGCCCCGTGTGCATACATTGTTACATACCAAGACAAAGATTGAATTATTATTCTAACCTTGAATCTGATTGATATCAGCAGGGTTTATTGGAGCTGCCAGCATGTGTAACAACACAGACCTGTCACCAAAGTTATTTGCTTCAACTTTCCTTACACTAATAATAAGAAAATACAAAGTGATTACATCTTTTCACAGGTGTGATACTACAGTGAAACAGCTCTCCTAATAGGGAGCTTTCATTATGACCACAATGACAGTGGTGAAAACGTCTTTTTTAGTGAATTTTATACCTGCCAACATTTTTTAATTTATAGGTGTGGCACTTTTATCCTGAGAGTGCCAGCATTTTTCGTAGGGGTCCGATTGTATCTGAAGATATCCAAAGATGTTCCAAACAGTTCTGTCTAACATGAACATGGGAACACAAGGGAACAGTGACTTTCCTTAGTACGAAAATAAGAGAATTCAGAGAAAGCCGATCATGTTTTTGTGACTCTCATTTTAGACTAGTCTTTCTCAAAGCCTGTTTCCAGTTTCTGCTGGTTAGGTGGTCAGTAGGGAAATGAACTTTTCTGGCCTGAAGCACGCTATTTTTGACCCGCCACTTTTCTCGCTGGCAGTGTGACGGGGGTGTGTCATTAGGGATATCCAATCAGGAAACCCCTTATCTTGTGGCATCAGTTCTCGGGAAACTTAATCCAGGCAAATCCTTTGATTGGCATGTGCTTGACTTTGAAGTGCAGGAAATAAACTTACACAAAGTGACAAATGCTGGTAAAAAAAGGAAAGTTGGCTTCAAAGAATTGAAATTAGAGAGAATCAAAAGACAGTGGTAGAAGGGTACATTAATGGTCGAGATTTCTTGATGGTTGCACCGACAGGCTCAGGGAAAACCCTTTAAATATTTCACATCGCGCCATTCAAAAACATACATAGATAGCAGAAACGACCTGCCATGATAATGTTTGGGTGGACTTTTCAGTTGATTTCACTATGGGAAAAGGTTGAGCAGTGATGCTGGTTTTGTTGAATATGAGGGCTTTTTGCTTGCTGGGAAATTGATTGCTAGAGTCTTTAGTTTGCCGTTTGACTGATTTGATGGAGCCAAAGTTCACGGTTTATTTCACAGTAGGTATTTTGAGAATGGACCTTGAAAGCCAGGGTACACTAAGCTGCCAGCCCCTTTTTCAAGGAGGCAAATAGTATTGCTCCCTTGTTCAAAGACCTTTTCCACCATGTTTTCATTACTTCTGGCAGAGTTTTCACAACTAGTTTCTGTCCAACAGCTTCTTTGCCCAGCTTTGAGCTGACAAGGATTTCCAAAGTTCACTGACACGTGCTGGTGACTTAGCCTGGTCCGGAGAAAGCCTTGCGGGCAAACTCGAATTTCAAAGACTTTCTACAGTCACATAATATGCAAGTTAGTTCTTTCGATTTTGGAGGAATACCGACCTGGAAAACGACATTCTTTGAGTTCAGTTCATCTACATTCATCTCGGTGTTCAGACCATCCAGTCATATGAGAACAGATTATTTAAGGGGGCTGTAAAACAGCCTGTCAAACTGACGTCACAAACAATTTTTTTGCACAAACATTATGCAAATTAAATTCAATCTTTTCCGCAGACAGAACAAGTCAACTTGCGACTTACGTCGCTGGTCTTGTGACTTCATCACCCACTTTCCTTTGCTTCATGAGCATCCCTTTGCACCTTCAGCGCTCACTCACCGAGTCGACTTGTGGCAAGTCTAGACGCATTGGTTCCAGTTTCTTTAAATAATTAATATATTTTTCAAAATGAGTCAGTTAATGCTGTCATGCCTCAAACTTTTCTACTAGGCATAATAAATTGGAATACAGGTATGAGCAGGCGTGAGAACGAAGTTTTCGATCAAGGCGTGACACTTGGCATGTACAGAATTCTTTTTCCATGTCGTCCAATTTGTTAAATCTTGGTGAATTTTTCTGGAGTTGAATTTTGAAGAACTGTGTCTCAGTTTAAAAATCAGATTTAGAAAATGGTTGCTTTGTGCTCGCGTCCTCGAAAAAACATAGAATGAGGCAGCCTCATGTCGTGGTTGTGCAATGATGGCAGAGAAATATACAAAAAAGCGTAAGGCACGTGCAAAGTTATTGTTTAGCTAATCTACTGCTTTTTTGCCATTCCCACTGCCTATGTTTTGCAAATAGTTTACATTATGAATAGAGTCGACATATGTATGCATAACAAATTTATGTATGGGGCTGTGCGGAAATCTGCCCTGAATCTTTTTAATAGTGTGTGCGTAGTTACATTGTGTAAAACCTCACCTCTCACCTTAAGACATTCTTCGGATCACCATGCTCGGAATAAACTAAAGACTCAGATTTGGTTTTGAAAAACCTAGATAAGCACCCCAGACAAGCGACTTTTCTTGCAAATTCAGGTCGTTTAAACCTGCAATTCAGTAACGCTCTTGACGCCGCCATCTTAATATCATATTAGTTCCCAATCCCTCACCCACTATCCCCCGTGTTCCCTTGTTCAGAAGTTCCCCTGCATCAACCAAGCATGAACCTCCCTCGATCCCCGCCCGCCAATGAGGATGGTTTTAATAAGCCAACACTACCACGTTTTGTCTGTTAATCGTTTAAGCTTTCATACACACTTAGCTCGCTTAACTACAGAATACAGGGCAAATTTTCTAGGTAAATTCGTTGGGGCGGCTCGGCGGTTCGGCAGTCCGGTCGGACGAGCCACTGAGCCACTAAAATATATATCAATACACACCTTTACTTTTTCTTTAAATTTTATACTTTATGCTCCTTTCATGCATGTCTTATATCTTTCTTCTTCTTTAAATGACTAGCAAGCCAACGAGCCACTTCAGTAAATATGGTCCTACGAAATTTTAAAGGAGATACTGCAGTACTTAATTCGTGGTTGTGACTGAAAATACGTTCAGTTTTGTTAGCGTACGTACAGTTAGACAGTAAATAAAAGAGATCCGAAACTTGCTTCGAAAAAAGGGAATTCCAGTTTCGATAAAGCTGGGTGATAGATATAACCAGGTATACGAAATTAGCGTGTTTAAGCAAAGGCGTTTTTGAGCGACGCACTTCAACCGGAAGTAAGGCCTTTTGTGGAGTTTAATATGCCTTGACTCTACCAAATTTCTTTTGCCGTGTTTCTTTACCCTCATACGGACAATTTTCCCGAAAATTTTGGCTAAAACATCAGTGACCAAGAATGAAAAAAGTCTACTTCAGGTCGACGTGCGTCGTTCAAAAACGCTCCCTACCAACCTGTGTACAACGGTCACTCGTAGGAAATCGCAAGGAGACCGTTATATACAGGGTGACAGCTATATACAGGTCAATTTTGCAGAAAATAGAAGGCAACTGAAAATCTTAGGAAATTGTCCCGTGACCGTAATATATAGGGTGACTAGGGCCGCTATATACAGATTTGACTTTACTCCCTCGGGGGGTACTCCCTCTGATGGCCCATACGGAGAAGCTCCGCCCGAAAGGGGTATCTTGTTCATGCTTCAGGTATAGAGCGGTTTTCATTTGAGTGTCGAAAAGTAATTGGTTTTGCACTTTCTACACGATGCGATTGGCTTAAAAGATTCGCGCCACCTTTTCATCCAATCAGAAGTAAAACCAAAGCCAATTGTGACGCGCCCGCATGCATTTTCCCGCGCTTTGCGTCAGCCACATGTAATTACTTCGAGTTTTGATTGGTTCAATGTATTGTCTGTGTCCTATGTGATTGGCCAGAGTAATTACTTTGGTTTTGGTTTTACGACACTCAAACGAAAACCACTCTATGAAAGGGTAAGGATTTCACTTGTTGAAGTATATAAAAGGGTGGGGAAATCTGTCATTTGGGTCTGTGAAAGGGCCCAAAAGGGCTAACAGATGGATTTTATGGCTTTATAAAGTCGAGAATCTAAGATCAGTGTAAGACTAACCCAGCGCACCTCAGAATACCTGTATCACGCACTGTTAGGCACAAACAATCGTTTATTCCTAGAGGTGCTAAACTTAACTTAACTTGATATGTATTTATAATATGTAGTGTTTTGAATTTTTATTGTAATATTACCGTAATTCGTATCGCCAAAGGTAATAAATAAAGGCAAGAGACTATAAAGGGGACAGTGAGGGCATCCCCCATATACACCCTATTCCATAGGTAATTCGTCTCGAGTTATTTTTAACACCACAGATCTCAAGGGGGATTAGACAACAGCCAATCACATAGCGCGAATGTGTTCCGCGTGGATGACCCACGCTGAGAGCCACGCGTCCTTCACGAAATGACGCAGAACAAAATGGGGGAAGACGCGGAGAGCGATTTTGCTATTCCTTTTGTCGACGAAAACGACTACAGCGAGATTTCTGCGAAAGCTGTGTCAGCGAAACCGAAATTAAAAAAGAATCGCCCTTCCTCTCTTGTATAGAGCTAACAGTAGAGCAGGGAAATCCTTAACACACTGAATATTCTCTCAGGATCATTTATAATTTACAGTTTGAAGAGAGCAATTTCTGGTTTGATGTTTATTTTTTTCAGTCTTTATAGCGATTATTCCTACCCACTTACTTTGTCAATTGTAGGCGAACCCTCCTAAAGCTGAATTTCAAGGGACCATATTCAAGCTCAGAAAGAGAAATAAAATTTCGTCGTTGCTTATTTACGTCCTCCATAAAACGCGAAATTAGGCATTTTCACGTCGTAGTCGTGCAAAAACGGGAAAGAAATGAACAAAAAAGTGTGTTGCACGTGCGAAGTTGTTGTTTTGCTAATTAAACCTATTGTTTTTTTGACGTTCTAGTTGTCGTCCGCGTCGTTGGATCTTAAACTCCCTAAATTGTACAAACGACCGGTTTCAATAGACCGGCGAAATTTCTCATTTTATTAAAGCACTGAGGTTACGACAACTTCGAGTTAAACTGATTTCACGGGTTGTCAAAGAGTCCAGCGATTCCTTTTTCCCAGGTGAGCGCCGACTCATTTCGCTTCAATATTCAGGAATGCTCTCGATCTTTTTACGCTTTCATTGCCTCTCGCCCGACATGTTTTGCACGGCGTTTGGTCATGCGAAACCTCCACGAAACATCCACGCCTCGCGCGAGGTAACTTTATCCCGATTCTAAAAATAACTCGAGACGAATTACCTATGGAATAGGGTGTATATGGGGGATGGCCTCTCTGTCCCCTTTATAGTCTCTTGATAAAGGTATTATTATTATTATTAGAAAACGTTCTATTTTTATGACTGATTCCTATTTAGAAGACAAGGCATTTATAGCAGTTAAAAGGGATGCAAAAATCTAAACAAGGTATGAGAAAGGGGTAACATTTGTCAATAGAAGTTAATAGGAAAGGGTGCCTTTTCTGTCAAAAATGGTGTATAAAATGGTAAAGGGTTGGACCACAGGGCGGAGCCTCCCCGTATAAACATTTTTGGGCAGAACTTAACGGCTGGCATCCGGGAGCGGTACCACACCAATCACCAGATTCTTTTGAAAACCCTAAAAAAATCCCTACTTACATAAAGGCATCAGTTTGGCATTCAAACCTCTGGAATTTTACAGAGGGAATTTAGCTATCAGATCAGTCTGCTGCAGGCTACCCCGCGCCATTCACTGCATGTTTATCGTTTGTGGCGTATGATACAGCGCTTATTAGAACTGCAAATGGAAAGACACTTTTTAACTCTCCGAGCAAATAGGGTGATAAATAATGGGTGATTTGTTTTTGTTATTGTAGTCGGTATTCGTTTGGACATCGATCATGCATGCAGTTGTCGGGAGTGTGAAAAACAGAACAGTGATGTTGCAGATCAAGCATAATTATTATAGGTCTTTACAGTTGCTGGGGCCTGTTTCTCGAAAGTTCTGGTAACTTTTTGGGCCCGAAAAGCTGTTTTATGTTTGCTGTGTTTGCATTCAAAATCAAAGTTTCAATAATTTCGAAAATGGTACAATAAAAATATCAGTTAAAGAAGCAAATTTGACCGGTTTCTGAGCTAGGAACTGTGCTACTATTGAACAGGTCTTGATTTTAAAATTTGCCTTAGGACCCGAAAAGTTACTGGGCCTTTTGAGAAACGGGGTCGTCTTTATAGTGTAGTCAGAGAAAAAAACGCTTTACTCAGTTTTGCACAAACGTTGACAATTTCATCTGAACTTTTCAGTTTCAGTTTATGAAATTTTTTGATGAGATCTACAGAAATATGAACTGAAAAATCTTTTAACTACATGTTACGTACAGAATGATCAATTGGAATGAAAAAGTTAAGGTATCACAAATCTAACTTTATCATAACATTTATGCCCCCGCTGTAACAAATAGCCTTTTACAACTTTCCGCATCTAACATCATAAATTAAAAACCGGAAAGAAACGCGCTTTCTCTTCTGTTTGTTTTGTGTTCAGCCGTATCTAGTTTGATTGATATTGATCAGAAAAAAATCTGCTAAGAATTGCTTATACGAATGCAAGGCCCCGATGAGAGCAGCTTATATTCGCAAAGACTTCAGTTTGTAGACTAGCCGCTTGTAGTAAATCAATGCTAATGAATGTTTGACTCATTTTGTTCATGCACATCATGGTGATTATGTGATGAGTTTTTTTGATATATGGAAAAGCGTTTAAATCAGGATTTTGCATTAAATTGCACTTGGAAAGGTGTTTAGAAATAAAGCTGGTTTCCAAGATCGCAAAAACGAAAATACACCAAAATTTCCGTGCATGGCAAGCATCATTGTGTTGCTACTTTGGATATTTAACCATGATTTGCTCCTAAGTCGTTCATTTGTCATTATGACTACATGAAAATATAAGGTGTAATTTTTTTGCGTTTTATATGCATTCAAACATACAGAATATTTTTATTCTCATGGAGGTAATGTGCCAAAATCCAAACTTTACGTTCCAGATGCTGGATTTTGAATGGTACGGCTAGATCGCGCGAAATTCGTCTTTACTGATTTCAAAGCTTTTTGCTTATCGTTGTCTTAGTAAGAACAATTTAACTTAAAACTACATTTTAACAAACTTAAATCTAAATCCACTAAGTGGTGAAAATCTTATGGCGATCGGACGACGAAGATAAAACTATCACGTTCACGAGGCGAAAACCGTATCGAAACACCTTATGTGACGGTAATTTCCTATACCTTCAATATAATATTGTGGAGCTTTAATTTCCTATATATTATAGGGTAAGAAAGGAAAAGCGTTCAGTGTTTGCTTTTTGTGTGCAAAACGGAAGCTCAAAATGTTTTTAGACTCGTGAGAATCTTTCAGCTGAATCTTTATACAGTCCCAAAACCCAACAAATATTACAATTCTCATTGCCTCACCAATGTACACTCGCCTTCTCCCCTCGAAATAAAGTGGGGAGAGAGACTACCGATTTTTTTAGGGGTGGAGGCTGATTAACACAGGATAGCATTGCCCACCATGAATCTCGACATCTTTTCCAAGC